GGGCTTAGGCGCAGGGCGCAGGGGGATGAACAGCTCGTGGGGCTTAGGCAGCAGCAGCGCGTGCACCAACGGCGTCCCCGGCGGGGTGTGCTGCAGCAGCAGCAGACCCAAGTGGCTGTTTTCATAGTGGAACTTCTTGAGCGCGTGGTCGTCGGGGTTCTCCGACAGCCCCTCCTGGTAGAAGGCGACGATGTCCATCACCGCCTGCGGGTGTTGTTGCTGTTCGCGCTTGCTGATGCCCAGCGCCTGCAAAAGGCGCTCCCACTCGATGGGGAGCCCCGTGTACAGCCCATCGTCGTCGATGCCGACGTGGGCGACGTGCTTGGCGTTGAACGGCGTCAGGATCTTCATGTTAATGGCGTCGGGAGGTGCCAGCGCCCCCAGGCTGCCGTTGGTGGTCAGCAGCGACAGCCGCAGCTTGCCGAACATCTCCTTGAGCACCCCCTTCACCCGGTTGCCCAGCTTGCGCTTGCGCGGCGCCAGCGACGCCGTCGAGCGCAGCAGCTGCAGCAACGATGTGGCCGCCAGTGCCACGGTGGTCAGGCTGGCCTGGCGCAGGTTGGAGGCAAACGCCTGGGGCAGCAGACGGATCACCGTCGCTGACAGCGGCGTGCGCAGTCCCGGCAGTAACATATCCGGGAGCAGGCCCTGGGGCATTTTCGGGGTGGTGTTGGGGGTATTCTTGGCCAGCGTCGTCTGGAACGCTGCCGCCAGCGCGGGTGCCGGCAGCGACAGCTGGTTGTCGACCAGCAGCGGCGCCAGCAGCGACAGCTCAGTGGGGCCGCTAGTTTCGCTGGCTTCCTCGGGCGCCAGCGGGCGCAGGGCTGGCAGCGGTACCCGGGGGTCGAGGGTAGGCGTCAGCGGGGCGGATATCGGCGGGGTTTCGTCGACGGGGGTGCGCGGCGCCAGCGGCGCCTGGGGGTGTTGAGGGTTTGGCGATTGGAGCACGGTGGTTTTCACGGTGGATTTCGACAGCTGGTCGGTCAGCGCGTAGGGTTCGGCGTCGACCTCGACGTCGGACAAGTCGGCGAACGAGCGAGGGGCCTGGAGGCTGGGCAGGACGCCGTTACTGGGGTCGTGGGCGCCGCCGTCGCTTGGGGGCGCCGGCGCGCGCGGGGCCAGGGCCGAGGCTCCTTCCATCACGGGGTGGGGTGTCACTGCAGTCGAACGGTTACGAAACAGGCAGGCGCTTCGTACTAGTACTGGGAGAAAGCGGCCACGGGTCGACGCGGAGTCCGGGGTGTTGGAAAACCTTGGGGTTGGTGTGTTAGCGGGGGGAGGGGGAGAAAGAAAAAAAAGCAGTTGTGCGCGCGCGCGAAATCGACATCGGCGTGGTGGTACTGAGGTGGCCCACCTGGAGGCGAGTATGGGCAGCAGGCGGGAGGTGGGGTCGAGAAAGGGTGTTTCAGGTGTTGTCAGAGTGGGTGAGAGAGTAAATACTTCAACTTGGCAGAGATATAGTAGCAGCAAGGGTAGCGGAGATAGCCGTAGGTTAATGTGTTCAAATGCCACGCCCTTGAGCGCGCCGTGGATGCTGGTAATTAGAGGGCAGGCAAAAGAAAAAAAGGTGGGTCCTTGTGAAAAAATGCGCCGAGGCCAATTTGAGGTGCCCGTGTACTCATAAATAGCCGGGGGATGGCAGACGGGGTGTGTGTGTGTGTGTGTGCGAAAATGGGCCAGGGCACATAACGTGACACGGCGGAAGAAATTTACCGCATCTCTGGGGGTATTGTATTTGAGGGAGGAGGGAGGAGGGCAGGGGGTTGGTTATGGCAATAGTAGACTGGGGTAACACAAGGTATAGAGGCAAATAGACCGGGCTAGTGTAAACAAACGGACAAATTTCACCAGGAATTGTCGGTGTGCGGAATACGACGGGCTCGCGATGGTACGTTTAGCGAAGGGGCAATGGGGCTCCTAACACCGAGACTCTCACCCCCTATGGACCCAACAATCCCTGTAAGAGAGAAAACACCACCGCTTTTGGCGTGAATATATTAATTCTTTGTTTCTTTTAAAATTGACAGCACTTGTAGCCAAAAATGTTTCTTCGATTATGTTTCAATTGAAAGTCTTCTGTTAAATCGCTATCTAATCGCTCATACCAATGTTTATGGTGACGCGTTCGGGGTGGGTGCCTTAAGGCCCTAACATTCCCCAAGATAGAGTTGGGTTTTAGCCCAAGCAAGTATCCGGATTCCATCCCTTTTCTAGACCAAATGGTTAAGTGAAACTGTAAATTTCAAGAGGCTGGTGTAACCGATGACTGAGCAATCTCTCGGGCTAATAGTACGACCGAATTCAACGATAGTATCAATTACACAATGAAATATGAAAGTTATAGCCCTGGCAATTGCTTCAATTTAAGTCACAAATTAAAAGCATGATAAAACTGGATTAATGAGGTGGGGAGGACACCCATTACCAAACTGACGTCACCCCGACGAATTATACTCTACTAATATCGACGGCGAGATGACTGAATAGCCATACGTTTTAGTCGCTTCATGTATCGCTCAACCATGAGTTATGCACCAAGCTTACTGTGTTTGATGGCCACATTTTATTCCCTCAGAACCCAATATATCCCTCAGAACCCAATATATCCCCCAGAACCCAATTCATCCCCCAGAACACATATGGATCATATTCTCACCAGTGAAATGATATCACACTTTCTGACGCCTTCGCAGAATCATTTGAGCGGAATGCCACCACGGGTACGACTTGGTTATCATCGGTGACAGGTTTAAAACCGGGCTATTTCTAGCAGGGCGCGCTAACTCCATGTGACTTCAGGTCGTGCTTCTCGCTCCTTTCCCCCTGAAGCCCCACTTCTCAGCATCATCGACAAGGCCGCGCCTCCAGAGCCAAGCGTTCCGTGATAGCGAGCCATCCGTTCATCTTCTCCAGGAAGAATGCATTTCAACCATTCACCGGATCCATCACCACTGTAATCCTGTCTTCGGTTTACAAACTTGGACTGAGGCCCTTATATTAAGACCAGCAGCCAGTTGTGGGGATGATGAGAAAAAAAGTGTGGGGGAGCAGCAGTCGCCGTATTTATGTTCACTCACTCACTATAGGCAGGAACGATTGGTGAGGGGTGGAAGCAATGTCAAACCTATACGGCAAGATTCAAGTGATATAAAATAGTTTGAAAGTACGTGGAGAATAGTGTTTCAGCTAATAGAGTAAGATGAAGCTAGTGTCAATCAACTTGATGTCAATCGTCTAGAAAATAAGGCAATCTCAATTGCTCGCTGGTGTGTTCATCGGGGTCGTCTTGACGTCTCTCTTAGTAAATGAGCGAACGCCCTAATTATGATATAATCAATTGCCTGGGATTAAGTCAAATGCTAGCTTTACTCGAAATTGATTCGAATGATTTCTAACTCTACCAGTATTCACAATTCCCTTCGGTGGGGTACACCAGATTTGCCAGCCGCAAGTTATTGGTGACGTCATCAACGAACGCTACAGGAAAACTAGAGATACCTCATCTCTCATTGTTACCGTTCTTTGGTTGGTGATTGTCGACTAAATCTACACATACTTCACGTATTTTGATTACCGCTAAATGCTCACGTAATTACGCTGTGAATGCTTACTTCGCTCTCATAAATCTTCACCAAACCATTAAATCCGCTTACCGGTGACCACAAACGCCCCCACTTGCGACTCAAACGTGTAATTGCCCATTCTGAGCAACCCGTCCACCGCCTTACGAATCACCGACACCCCACCTTCCAGGTGGAGCCCGCGCCCAGTGATCACCTTCACCAGCCCGGCAAACTGCGCCTTGCTGCCATACTTGTGCAACTGGCCCTGTTGCTCACGCAGGTGGAGCTCATTCTGCCACCACAACGTGAGCGCTTTGCGGGTGACGTCCACCGCTTCCGCCAACCGGAGCCCGTGGAGATCCAAGTCGCTCCCCCGCTTGAATGCGTTGATCAATTGCTCCATTTGCGGGGTGTTCTTACCCGCCATGTAGAACTTAACCTGGGTGAACTGGTGCGACATCGCTTGGCGATGGCTGTCCACAGCCCTTCTCGCCTGCAGGGGATCTTGAGGCTTCTTCACCTTCACCGCATCGGCAAAGGTGTTGCCCAACGTCCGCATTTGCGGGTTAGGGGCGACTTGGTCGGCACTAGCAGCGAGGGCAAGGCGTTCTTGAGGCGTAAGCTCAGCGGGACGCTTGCGCTTGCTGATAACGTCGTAGCGCTCTCTGAACTTATCGGCCAAGTGCATCGACACGAGCTCAACGGCAAGACCCACCACCCGTTGCACTTCCCCACTGAAGTAGATAAGCAGCTCCACCATGAACTTCATTGGGAATTGGGACCGGAACTTAGGGTTCAGGTTGTACCACTCCTTAAGCTCGACCGCCTCCGAACTTTGAGGACGGTACTTGTATTGAGGCGCCCGTTGGCGGGGCTTGCCGCTTTTACCACCGCGTTGCACCCGGCTGAGCGACAGCAGCAGCAGCAGCAGCGCCGACGACTGCGCTGAGGGCGGCGTGGGCTTGTGCCACAAGATGATCTCGATGATGGCATCGACAATGGTCTGGTTGCCCTTGTGGTTCATGTATTCACGGGCGAGGTCAGGAGTGACGTCCAATAATTCAGCCACCGTCTCCACACTCTCGCGCTTAGCCTTTTGCGAAGGAGTGGTGAAGTTGAGGAAGTCGGCGTTTTCGTTGACGTCGGTTCTCAACAAGTACTCGGTGGTGGTGGCAATGTCCTTGTGGTGGGCGTCGAACGCCTGTTCCAACGCCTCGATGTCAACGTTGGGGAACACTTCCTTAAGCTGCAAAACGGCCTCGTCGTAGACCTTAGGCGCCGCCGCTTCGGCTTCATCAGCCATGTCCTGTAAGATCAGGAGCAGTTCCAGTTCGACACATAAGTACTCAATCAAATCCTCGATGCTGTCCGAAGTCTTCATTAAAAGCGCAAGCTCGTACCGGGCAAATCTGGGGAACAAACCCATAAGCTGTTCGAGAAGTTCCTGGAACTCCTTCAGGTCATCAACTTCGGAATAAGCGTAGGTGTCGTAGTCGTCCTCGTCAATTTGCTCAACTTCTTCGACGGGTGTATTATCGTAGGCCAGTTTGTCAGCAGTAGCTGCGGGCACTGTCAGCGCCACTGGCGGTTCGGGTGCGGGAGACGGTGCTGGTGATGGCGACGGCGACGGCGACGCCAGCGCCTTCTTCTTTTTCTTGTTGTTCTTCTTCTTGTTCTTCCCCTCACCAGCGTCGGCAGTTTCGTTAACGCCAATCATTTGCATGTCGTGGCTCAAATTGGTCATGATGCGGTCAAACTTCAGTGGCTCCAGCGGCTCCAGCGCCACCGGTGCCGGGTTTAACGTCGTCGGCGCCGCAATCTGGACGGTTTCCCGCACCGGGTCGGCGGAGAAGTCTATCGACTTCAGCAACACCCGCCGGTGGCCGTCGTCGAGCATAAGTACCCAACACACCAAAAAGAGCCCTTCATCACCGCCTACTTGGTCGTAGAGCGCCAGCGCAAACAGACAGTCGCTAAGCTGGTGCACCCGCTCGAGGTACCACTTTTTCCGCTTGTGGTAGTCGCTATCAGTGCTCGCCGGCTGGCGGTGTCGTTCGCCAGCACCAACGCCAATGTGGGCGTAGATCAAGTCCACCGGCAGGCCCATCCAGTGCAGCACCTGGTCCACCGACAAGTGGAGGATACCAGCGAGGATGTGGAGCTGCTGCTGGCGGTCGGCGCCGTGGAACTTGGTGAGGATCGAGGTGACGGCGTTGTAGAGCGGGAGCGACAGCACCGGCAACGCGTAGTAGTAGAACGGGCGAAGCGAGTACCCCTCCTCCTTGGCGTTTTTGGCGAGGTCGGTCGCCTGGGCGAACTGGGCCTCCCAGTCCCAATTGATCGACCGGGGGTTCCACGCGGAGGTCATGGGGGTGGGTATTTGGTGGTCTGGGTATTCGGTGGTCGGGGTGAATGCGACCCCGCGAAGAGTATCGAGCGCCGGGGGCTGCTCGAGTTTCCTTGACTATTCAAAGTATATAAGGCTAATATGAATTAGGGGTAGGAAAGCAGAAACGTCTACTTTTGTGTCTGCTCATAAATTTACGGCTAAACCTGGAGAGTGCTGCCACAGTAGCGGTTGGTGTGAGTCCTACCTCGGTGGTCGAGTCAATATAAGTGTACGCGACTGATAAACGTCTCCAGAATTCAGATTTTTATTATTGTACGCCAAGACCGATTGACGGGTGGGGGCACTACTCAAGCCTAACCACCAAATCCAGGTACACCAGCATCACCCACTTTTTCTCTAATTTCTATGATTTTGACGAGGTCATGATTTCCTTGTCTAGATACACTTCAAGATTCTCGTCTTAAATTCCCCAATTTGAGGCAATTTGAAGGAATTCATCACCTGAGACATAATAGCCAAGAAAATGATAAAACAATACCCTAGCCACCATCACCAATACCGCAACCAAATATCTCTCACAAATACCACAACTCCACCACTGCTTTCCCGACGTCTTTCGGTGGCATCCGTAAATACTGCTGGTGTCTACCTTGCGTCGATGGTTCCGGCACACGAGGAAAGTGCATTACATAATCGGCCCACTCAAATGCCGTTGAGCGACATAGCCCGATTGCTCCCGCTAGCCAGCCGCACTACCTACGATAACCCCGCCAAAGGCTAATTTGCCCCACCCATCGAGATTAGATAAAACCCAAAAAACAACATATCTTTCAAACACTTTAACATCATTTTTTTTTATCTTACTCTTTATCCATCAGTTTCTTATAGTCACGGGTTGCCGTGGTGAGTAGCTCCCCACCGGGTTTTCGGAACCGTTCGCAACCGAGCCACCCTAAAGCTCGGCGCAATTCTTCTTCACCTCGCCACCACATGAGCCAGTTGTACCGGTCCTCGACCGACGGCCCGGTGACTCTGGCCCACACCCCGAACAACAACCCCCACGGCGCCAACGTCGAACACCACTTCTCCTTGCTCGACGATATCAAGCACCGCACCACCGACGACTACCGCAAAGTGTTTTATAAAGTGCCCCCCCGCAACCAGGGTACCACCACTAACCCCGTCAAGAAGCATTATCGCCCCAAAGTATCGTTTGACACCATCAACATTGGCTATGACGACGACGACACCGACTGGGAGCCGTACGACCCCGAGGACCACCGGTGGCAAGTTGGCGACCACCCCAGCTACAACCGCAGTCACGACGACTATCTCTATCCCGGCGATCGAGGCCGCAGCCGGCTGCGACTGCCGGGTCCTCGAGACGTGAGTTTCTCCCCCGTGAGAGGCGCCGAACCCACTGACGTCTATGAATTAGCTCGTATGCTTAGCGCTACAAGACCAGCGTACCCGACGACGCCGATCATCACCTTCCGAGGGACGACGTTGGCGAGAACTCACGAAAAATGGGACGACTTATACAAGATGAACTTGTACAACGCCGACAATGGCTGGCTCCGCCCCACCCTCCCCAACCGGGTGATCTTGGTGTACATCTCGGGCAGAATGCACACCTGGGTCGCTCTCGACTGGTTATTCCGCTCGTTTGTGGAGAACGGCGACACGGTGGTTGTGGTAGCCGCCATCGACCTGAGACAGCTTTTAAAGCAACGCCACGGACGTAGCGGCGCCGGTAAAGGGTACCGAGCTCCCGCGTACGCCGGTCGACCCCAGGCAATGACAACGAAGATGAGATTGCGCCAGCGCAACTCCCCGGAGTACATGGCCACCCTCGCCCACGACGTGATGGACTACTGCATGGAGGTGATGAACCCCGACGTCATCGCTCGTGTATGTCTTGAATTATGCGTGGGAAAGACGAAACAGGTGTTGAAGGAGATGTACAAGCTCTACGAGCCCAACTTGGTGTGCACCGCCACCAAGGTCAACTTGGGGGTGACGGCGCCGCTCCGGGCGTGGAACTCGCGCAAAATCACCGACAAGTTAGTCAGTCAGTTCCCGTTGCCCGTGATTGTGGTGCTGCCGATGAACATGGCCCACTACGAGCACCATCTCGAGGTGGAGATCGACGAGAAGTACGGGTTTGAGCCCGACCCCTTGGAGGAGTGCAAGCACCGATGTATCCACTCCACCAAGCAGCCAGGGGGCAAAGCCAGCGACTGGGACCCGGAGATCGACGGCGACGACGCGTTGCTGATTGACCTGGAGCTGCTGGTGGCCTCGGAAGACCTGTACTCGTCGTTTGACGAGATCGGCAAGCTTTACACTGACTACCGCAAAGATGTGCGCAAAAACATTGTTGCCTTGAAGAAGCGACCTCGTGACCAAGAATTCTTTGCCAATTTCTTACGGATGATCTCCGATAAGCTGGCCGAGCTCTGTGACGATATTCGCGCCGTCAACCCTGATTTCAAAGGTAAAGGGGCTATGCTTGCTCACGCGATCACGGGGCTGACCAGTTTTAACCAATCCCCTTACAAGACGAAGCTGATGCTCTCGCCAGTGGAGGATAAGCCCTCCCTGCCCACTTCTCCAGGGCAGGGCGTATCGTACGCCGATACTCTCAAGGCGTTAAAGCAGAACCAGCTGCGGCTGGCGAGTCCCGCAGTGCCGCCCGTGGTGGTGCTGAAAGTGTCGTCCCCTGAAGATACCCTGCCGCCGAGACATCGAGACATTCGCTTCGGCGACTTACAGACGCCGTCGTCGAGGAAATCGCCGCTGCCCCTCGCTACCAGCGCCCTTCAGAAACTGAAGAGTCACGAAGTCAACGGTGACCGGCCGCTGTTGGAGCCTAGACGATCACACCCTGACATTCACACCATCCACGCCATGAGAGGGAAATCCCACGACGGCGACAAGGACGGACACAAGAAGAAACACTTCTTCAGTAAACTTTTTAAGCGTTAGAGGACGAGCGTCAAAGGTTGAACGTTAAAGGTTTTAGATAGATAGATGTGGTGTGGTATTGAATATTAGACTCAACCCTCAGATAGCACACATTACGGAAATTGACAGTGATAATGCCAAAGTGAGGGATGGTACCAATAGATGTTGTAGACTTACATTCAATTCAAATAAACTTAAGGTTTGTATTGATACTTTAAGAACCGCGCGCTGGCACGCGTGCTATCAACTGGTTAAAGTTAATTTGATCAACTACAAAATATATCACAATCTTCTTCGTTCATTTTTCCATTATATACAAACTATTTGAAAATTGGCATGCTAAAATAGACTCAGGCCTCCGGGCACGGCACTATCCACTGCGGTTGAGGTGATCAGATCAGCCTCATTTGCTGGGGTGCGGACACTCAACCGGAAACCCACATCCTCCGGGCACGGCACTATCCACTGCGATTGAGGTGATCAGATCAGCCTCATTTGCTGGGGTGCGGACACTCAACCGGAATCATTTGTGGGAGTCTCTAAATGATGTGCTGTTATTCCCATACCTTGCAACCTTCGTAAGGCCAAGCAACCGCAGGGCAGCACATCCACATCGTCGTCGGCTCCTTTTGCGCGCTGACGTGTCCCCAATGCGAACCCCTGCTCCTGCCTTGCAACCTTCGTAAGGCCAAGCAACCGCTAGAACAGCAAATTCGCACGTCGACGACTCCTCAGGAGCGCCGACGATATCTTCCCCCCCAGTGGAACCCCCGCTCAGGCCCTGCAACCTTCAGGACAGGCGGCCGCAGCAAGCCCACATATCGTCGGCACCCCTGAGTCGTAGGAGCCTGCCCCCGAATGCACAAGGCATGGGGACAGTTACGCCCAAAGTGGTGTGTAAGAGTTTGAAGAGAAAAACAAGGTACAGGGCGGACGAGCGTCTTTTATATCACTGCCCTGTATATAGCCAACTAATAAAACCTGGGATGAGTTGTTACCCGGCAATTAGCTAAATCCCCGCCTCAGCCATTGTCCTCGTCGCCATCGCAACCCCACGCATGAACTAATAAAAGATGCAATCGTAGATTTATTCAACAATCACAGATTCTCCCACCTTTGCAAACATCGTGGCAACGATTCATTTGATATTGTCATACTTTGCTGACTTCAGTGGCTCCAATAACTTTGATATTCCTCATCTAGACCATTCTTGAAACTAATTATTTGATTTGAAAGTAGGGGGCGTCGTCTGTTATTGTGAGAAAGATTTTGGAGCCCTGCACCATCAGCCAGCCTTTTTTAACGTAAACATCAACACTCCCTTGCCCCCCGATTCCCTGATGATCATAGGCCCAAGCTGATGTGACTTTTTGGACATTTGTGTAATGTCGGCCCACCAGTATGCCTCAAATCGTGTTGCAATCGTAGCGTCATGCTTTTTGGCTTCGCTTGGTCCAGTACTTTTTCGTCGACGACGTCGTCTCACTGTTTACTAAAATAGCGTCGTCAATGCAGCCAAGCAGTGACAATCAGCTGACGCCATCAGAAACTCCTCCCGAACTAAAAAGTGAGTGTTTCAACAGTAGCCAGCAAAGAATCGCCTTGGAAGATGCTAAGATGCTGAATGCTTTGATGGTAGCGGCGGAAGCGCTCAATCAGCGGTGGCGTAGACGTGAGGTGTAAACATCACTAATTTCGTCAGATAGCTTCACCCACATACCGAACGTTCATCAGATTGCTATCAACGGTGACCATTTTCATTTCATCGGCGATAATGTTTCATTTCGAAGGTTTGGCACCATGGTCTTTGCATTCATTTGGTCAACTGATACAACCCCTTGTGAGTTTATCAAAACGGTCGCGCGCCGGTACCAAAATCGAAGCTACAACTTCATCCGCAAACGTCGACGGTAATGAATTCGATAATCACGTAAACACGTTATTGGACGTTAATACTGATGCTTACGGTTTGTGAATAAAAGGTAGGCGTTGGTTTGGCACTTGGATCTCTCGTCTTTCTTTAGAGACCATTCACGTGACCCACTTCAACTAATCGTTACGAGCACCAACACTCAACCAACCCAGCCCCCATTTCCACCATCAACTGGTGACTACCGAGAGCCTCCGTGACGTCCGTGATGAAATTATGGGTGTTGTTGCTAGCGGTGGTCCTAGCGAGCCTTGAGGATCTCATGTTTGGCGACCTTGATAAGGGGATGATGCTGCCGTCCGCCCTTGTGGCCAAGCTGTCGATCACCCTGGTTTCAAGCAGCGGCAAGTCCTCGAGCCTGCAACTGGCTCTGGACAGTGCCTCGGCTTCGTCGCTGGCTCTGCAAGACCTAGGAGCCAATCCGTTGAGTAATTTGGCGGGAGGCGGCGACGATAACCAGGACTTACAAGAGTTTACTCCCATCCGCGACCTGATCCTCCAGCTGGAGACCCGCTACTATTCATTTAATGTTAATACTACCAGTGGGTTGGGGCTGGTGTATCAGTTCCTTATCTTTTTGCTGGGCAATTTGTGTCTGCAGCCGTATAATGTGTTCCCTGGTGACCGACTGTTAACCGTGTATTACCTGTTTAACAGTTCTGTGTTTGGCAATTTGGAGCTTGGGACGATGATTGAATTCAAAAACGGCTACTTTCAAGCGATTACTGAAGTGCCACGGGCTAATGATTCCGATGATGATGATGACGACGATGACGGCATCAGTGCTGCCCCCTCTCCTCTGGGGACGGCGGCTGACCAATTTGACGTATTGTACATCGCTGTGAGAGCGCCAGAAAACACTAATCGTACGGCAAGCTGGACTTACCAGATTGGGGTGCTGCAGAACGATCTTGTCTTCCAATGGGACGATCGCCAATGGGCGCAGTTGGTCGACGCCGATCTGGATCTGGCGCTTATTGTGACGGGTAATTTGACCACAAACAATACTTTTGACGAGTTAAACGTCAATAGTTCACAATATTCGCTTCTCATCTTCCCCGCTACGTATGAAGATAAGTTTGCCATGCTTAATTCGCTGTGGTGTGCTGTGCGCAATACGCCACCGCTATTTGAACTGCTGTTGTTTGAGACCAGTTATACGCTGCGGAATGGGTTCCTTCAGCAGCAATTCTTCGTCTCCGGACTAAATGCGCTGACCAGGTATCTTGCGTATTTGCTCAGTTCGTTTAAAGGGAAAGACTACGGTGGGGCAGTTTATCAACCATTTGAGTTCAAAACGATGAATCTGAATTCCTGCAAGCTTATCTATGATCTTGAATTTTGCCAGGGAGTGCTGTATGCGGTACCGAATAACCCTCAATTCAATCGCACTGAGCTTCGTCAGCTTTATGACAATCAGGCCAAAGACCTTTACCAAAACTTTTCCTATGCCTTACAACAAGTGGCGTGTAATGCTTCCGACGAGACACGGTTTTCCCCCATTGTCAATTGCGACGATTGTGATGAACTGTATCGAGATTGGCTCTGTAGCGTCACCGTCCCTCGATGCACTACGGAACAACAAGACTTCTACGTGTTCAGGGACGTCAATCAGAGTCGTAGTGACTTCATCAACAAGCAAGTGAGCCCGCCAAACCCATACTACGAGATCATGCCGTGTATCGATAACTGCTATGCTCTCGTACGCGATTGTCCCGTTGACTTTAATTTCCAGTGTCCTACGCGTAACCAGCTGGTGATTAAAAGCTATAACTTCTACGATAAGGACTCGGAGTTCCCTACTTGTAATTTGGTCAGTCATAACATCCTTTGGGTGATTCTGGAAGAAAAATCCGCGGCCCCGCGTAGCCGCCCCAGCATTCTCGCCATCGTCTTCACTATGGTCTTTTTGGTAATCTTTTGATAAACCAATATTTATATACACTACATTCATATAGTCAATTAACATATAAGCAATTAACAAATTATGGAATCTCATAAATTGTCGTTGTTCTTTAATCTCAGCGCGACACTGAGTTTTGCCTTGTTAAAAATCACGAGTCGCACTATACGCGTCGCGTCATGACTACCAACGACACCCTCCCTTGGTAAGTGAAATTTATGGTGTTCACAATTACCCCAATCTGATACTAACTAAGTCAGGGTAGAAAAGTACCGTCCGCAAGACCTCGACCACGTGTTTGGCCAGGATGAGATCGTCAACACCGTGCGCAAGTTTGTCCACGAAGGGCGGCTACCCCATCTCCTTTTCTATGGTCCTCCGGGGACGGGGAAGACCCTGACGATCGTGGCGTTAGCTCGTGAGATCTACGGTAAAAACTATAAGAATATGGTGCTTGAACTTAATGCTTCCGACGATAGAGGGATTGACGTGGTGCGGAACCAAATTAAAGAGTTCGCCCTGACCCGACAAATCTTCAGTCAAGGGTTCAAACTCATCATTTTGGATGAGGCCGACGCCATGACCCTGGTGGCGCAAAACTCGTTGCGGCGGATCATCGAGAAGTACACCAAAAACACCCGTTTCTGCATCCTTGCCAACTATGCTCACAAATTAAATCCGGCGGTATTGCTGCGGTGTACCCGCTTCAGATTCAACCCTATCACCAATGACGGCATCCAGCATCAGATCGACGACGTCGTGCGGGCCGAGTCACTCCAGTTGACGCCGGCAGCAAACGACGCCGTGGTGAAATTGTGCCAAGGTGACATGAGACGGGCGCTCAACGTGTTGCAAGCATGCAAGGCTGCGTCAGACAACGGAGCAATTGACGAAGACATGATCTACGAGTGTATGGGGTCAGTGCACCCTAAAGATATCGAAGCGTGTCTTAGCAGTGTGTTACGGGATGACTGGACCACCGCCGTCACGACTGTGACCAAGTACAAGTCGGCCAAAGGCATTGCATTAGTCGATTTAATTACCGGCTTTGTGCAATCGTTGGATCAGTACCAGCTTAAGCCCCAAGTCCGTTTGGAAGTGTTATCGCGGTTAAGTGACATTGAGTATGCCATTCTGCGGGGAGGCAACGATAAGATCCAGACGACGGCGGTGATTGCGTCGATCAAGCAGGCGATGGAAGCGCAAGCGTGATTATCATTACTACTGCTGCCAATATAACTGGAAAAGAGACAGTGCCCGCCAACGTTGCCCCGCGGGTAGTGCGGATGCAATTTCTCACACCCCCCAAAACGTCAAAACGTGGTATAGAAGGGTGCATTGTTAACCAGATCCCCACTTGCGTCCCCCCCTTTGTGGGAACTTTGCTATTCTGTGACATATAGAACTAAACACACGCTATTGCTGGGCGGTGTCCCGCGGGACACCCACGGGTGTTAGCGGCGTTGGTATGCAAATAAACCTAAACTAGACCGTGCTCACCCATGGCAACCGTAATCACACACAAGTGTCTTTGTCCTCGTGGTTGCCTACATTAGATAATGACCCCCGATCCTTCTGTTATCTTTGAGTGACGTAAACGCTGCGTACATTACCGGTGGTCCACTATTCGGAAATGTGCCAGGGCCACGGCACGGCAAAAAAAGCTACCCTGTGGGTCGAGCTGTAGGTCGAGCTTAAACCGAGCCACTACTGTTCCGTTGGCACTGGTGCACCACCTTTCGGCGATAGGAGCGTTGACGGTGGATTTCCGTAGGGAACGTTTTGTAGAGGGGTAGATTGTGTTGTGTATCACCACTCGCGTCGTGGGTGCCGCCTGCGATCGAATCCCATCGGAGGCGTGGCCACTCACACTCTGTGTCACCGTTGGCGGCTATCGCGACGTAATTACGTCAATAGCCTAAACCCCCACGGGTGGCTTATGGGCGATCGCTGGCAGGAATCGCATGATGACAGAAGGTACGTTCCATCTGGCAAACCCAGGCAGCGGTGCAGTACGATTAGATGTATTGATCAGACGCACAAACAATGGGCGCTGGGCGAAAGTGACGGGGACCGCCGTACAGCTAGTGCTGGGGGGCTAGGGCTCGTGGTCGAGCCCGATGGAGATTGTTGTCGCTGGCGACGGCGAAGGCATTTCTTATCGGCAAAGCGGTTTCACCCATTTTCCTTGGGTCAGTGTTTATGAGTCAGTGGAGTGAGTGATCAGTGGAGCGAGGGTTGCATGATTCTAGGCGAAGCAATGGAAGCGTTGCCTGCTTGCCACTGCTTGCCAAGTGACAAACGGATGATCTTAGGTTACATTTTCGTGGGTGCCACTGACGGTTGCTTACAATGATTGGGGTGTGTGTGGGCGTGTGTAGTGAGGTTTCTCTGGCAGGCGCGACGGCGCTCGCAACTCGAGTGACTTGCGGCCAACGGGGCTTGCGGCGGGTTCTAGGTACGCACACAATAGACTAAGGGCGGGGCCCACCTCTCGTCTACAACTATACGTATGGTGGTAGTGGTTGTTGCCACGTACAGCCAAGACAGAATCGGTCGGGGCGCTCTCTCCAGTCGTGACCACTAAGCGGCATTTGCCACCCGCGGCGCCGTCGCCATTTTCGCACCCTGAGGAAAAAGTGGGAGAGGGCCTCCACGCACGATTTAAAAAAGTAACCCCCGTTGCTTCCCCACGAAAGCAAATTATTGATGGCCGTAGTAGCCGCCGTACCAATCCCTTGTTATGAAATACCAATGGTAGCATTGAATAGTTATAATAGCGATTACGAATGGCGGCGCTGCCATTGGTGGGCGTGGTTTTGGGGCAGGCGTCGTTCCCCCTTAGCTTTTTTTTTCTCACCAAGTTGACTGAATAAATCTGCATCACTTCCCTCAAATCTGTATTAGCTAATCGTCCTGCACACCAACAAGCATTTATGCACATATACATGAAGAAAATTTTTCAGGCTGAAAAATTTTTATGGTGTGTGTAGAGGCACATAGATTAGGGATATATATATAGACGAGACCTGGTTTGTCTATCGTCATAAACCACAGGGAGTTTCCATGAAAAGATCGGCGGACCTTGAAGGCTCTACCAAACGCTTCAAGAAGGACCACCCCGAAGACCGCATCGACCCCGTGGAGAAGTTGTTACTGCTCCTGCTGTACCACAACCAAGAATGGTGGAACGAAATCCCTGAGTCGCTGGGGGAAGTGAAAGAAGAATACTTCCCCGAATTGGAAGGGCTCAACTACCAACAGGTGGTCAGTGAAAAAGTGCTCCGTAATTACTATCTGCGGATGCGTAAGGCTCGCCTTGAAGACCCCCAATTCACCCAGCTCAACTATAAGGAGGAGCCCAAGCTGGCGGCGGCGACGCGGCCCACGGCCAAAGCGCCTCAAGCGCCTTTCTTCCGCAACGTCAACTTTAGCCAGCCGAAGCTGCTGAAGCTGCTGATGGAGGACTACTTCTCCTACGACGAGTTTGACGACCTGGACGACGACGGCGCTGCTCCCAAGCTGCCCACGGAGACCCAGGCGCCGCAGTTGCCCCAAATCGACCTCAAGAAGCTCTCGTACTACCGTGGCCCCGGCCAGCTCAACTTGGCCGCCGGCGACGAGGAATGGTACCTGCCCCTGCCCCGGAGCACGGAGACCACCGAAGACTACAACAAGTGGTTCAAGCGCCAGAACGTGGCCAGCACCCAGGAGGTGGTGGCCGGGGGCGACTTGTCGATCAGAGACTTTTTTGTGTGAATAATTACTAGCGACTGGTCGACGCTACATTAGGATTTTAACGGATTGCATTGGGACGGGACTTTTATTTCACCTTTTTAATATGTTTACCACTTGATAGTTTTAATGGAATAGGACGCATTGAGCACCGCTAGGCACTAGTTGTTTGTTGTAGCAGGGAAAAGACCGGCATACGGGAATGTTGTCTGTACGCTCTGCATAGAAGTGAGTCGTCTTATGTACTCTGTCGTCAGCTAGACGGCGTATTAGCCGGAGTGCGAAAATGGGCCTAAACCTAACTTCTACCGGGCAGCTATTGCTCTATCGAAAACCCACTACAATTTCTTTGTTATTCCACGACTAAGTCGGCCCCTTCTCTACACCCCTCTCTATTCCCCCGGTAGTCGATGTCTCACATTTCTGCCGCTAGTGCGTTGCTAACGACGCTTACTGCGCATGTACACCCAGCCGGTGAACAAGTAAAAAAAAACATTGGCCAGTTTATCCGTCCGGGGGGCTCCGGCAAGTAAAATTCCCCTGTTTGTTGGCGTATACGTTCCCGTCGTGCTTGCATCGTTTTGCTGGTGCCCATTGGTCCACGCCTGAGCCCGCTCCCCCACGCCTTTTCCCTTTCACCCCTCGCTCGACTTCTGTCTGTGCACGCCGCTGCCGTGTAACTTCCAAAAGGAAAACAATAAACATATGGGTCGTTATTGTTCACCAAAAATCTCCAATTGATTTTGAAACTAAAAATCGGGATATACTCTCGATAGCGGGCTTCATCGTACCCCATAGTTTTCTAATCTCTATTGCCCCCCGACCAAATGAAAATTTCGCCAGTTTGTGTTACCGTCACTGCCGTCTCCCGCCTCACAATGCTTATGTACATGACAGCCGGCATATAGCCACTTTGATGCCTTGGCCAAGATTCCGCTAAGTAATGACGAAAGGAGGTCCTGTCACTCGTAACCATAAGATCCCCGTACCAAATCACCCAGTAGGCTTCCCGTCAATAATGAGTGAAAAAACTTTCATCATATCCTAAGTGAGTCATTTTTGGCGTAGGTAACCTAAAAATGACCGTGTGTGAGGGGAGTGCCAGCACCCCGGAACGCGACGCTTAGGCATTGGCCGCTTGCCCCATACATAGTTAAAGTGAAAAGTTTCCCAGCCATGTTTCTAGGTGGCGACTGCCGGCTGCTGGTTAACGCACTGGTAAGCGTCTGCCCACAGGTGTCTGGGTGGGCAAAACGAAGGAGCATACGTCTAGCGGTACGTACAAGCGCCTACCCTGCTTACTCTACGTATACTGTTTGTAATCCAACCAAATCCTATCCCAATCCGTCCTCCACGGCACCAAAAAGAAAAAAGAAACTTTGAAAGCACCTCTACCCCAGTCACGCTAGGTCTAGTTGCCAACTAGTGTTACGAGCCAAGCAATACCGGTGACTTCAACAATACCACCCATCAGCGCGGCGATCGTTCACCCACAGCAGCGAGGGTCGCAGGTATAATGCTTACCTTGAGGGAACGATACGTCCAGCATGGATACGACCCGTACGTACCACCAAATTCTAGGACCGCCTTGGCCAGCAGACATAGCCGACACTGAATGAAAATCTCGTCGTACTGATGGAACTGCAACGCTGATGGTTTCGGTAAGCGTCGGACTGGGTCCGGCCAATCACGGCGCGATTTGCCCCTATGATTTTTTTTTTCGTTAGGTTAATGCTGTGATCCCCATGCGCCCGCTTCACGCATGTCCGCGGACCCGCACCCATCAGTGACACCTAACGGCTCAGGGCGATATAGTGAAATCCAGTGCGTCATGCGGAAAACGTTTGCGCACAGCCCAAGGCGGTCCAAACGGCATAGTTTACACGGCGAAAAATAGAGGCCACTGTGACCCGGGGGTATTACCCCGAAACCTCCAAACTGTAGCTGGGACAATCTGTTTTATGTGTTAGCATCATCAAATCAAGAAATAATGGTTGCTTGCGCTAAGCGAACAGTGGCCTGATGCTAGGGTGAAATTTTCCCCCCAAAATCAAAAAAAAATTTGCTAGGCTGACGCTGCAGAGGGCATATGTATCCCGGGCTACTAACAGCGAGGTCCCTCGCGTAGGGGGCTTATTTGCGACGTTTGTAATTGGTTTTTTTAGCGACAGACTCCTACAAACCCACGGAACTGACTGCCTGAGAAACGCACCTGGCACCGAAGCTAGCGCCATGCCGTGATACCCTGTGGGGACGTGTCTGATGCCAAGACACCGTCGGGTTGTCAACTGCTAGCTGATAGCGATCAGCACCAAACTCCGACAGAGATTTTGTCTTACAATCTATACAATAAGCGATCGATTTCTCCTGGTCAGGGGTAACTAATCAGAACCAGACACTTTTTGGAACTGTTCGAAAAGACGTGGGCTAAGCCCTGGTAAGACCCCCAAAATAATCCTTATTACGCTGTTTCGGTGTCTACAGTACTCTCTGGCTACACAGTGTTACCAAATTTAAGCCGGGTGGCGACCAGTACTGTGTCTCCTTTCTTTAACTGCACTGGCCTTATGTGCAGTAGCAACCTGCCGGTGACTGCGTGAGCCAAACTCCAGACTGCAAGGCACTATGACCCTCAACCTACGTCTGCACTGTTGATGGAGCCAATCCCCCGAAATGTTGCAAAAAAAATCGAGCCATTTGGGTGGCGGCGGGCGTGTCGCAAACTGTGACGGAAGCATATGTATCCGCGCATATTAAGGTTGGGCTAGTCAGATTACGCATATCACATTACTCTCGTTACTCTTCGTTATTTGTCATTACACATTAGACGCCAATTTTATGGCGAGTTGTTCCGGGAAAGACCCTCGGTGGCGCCCGACCCCCAGAGCGGGATAACGGGGTGGCGCGACGCCTCTAGGTCGACGTCGGAGGGTTCTTCGAGGACCACCACACGCGCAGTTTGGCGCGATGAGCGAGCCTCGGTTGTCACGTTGGTGACGTTGGTGTCGGTGTAGTCGGTATCGTGGAGGTCGTCGTCGCTATCTGGTGACGACCACGACGAGACGTGGCGGTTGCGGGTGGCGGGCTCGCGCAAAGGCGGGCTGTCGGCGAGCCGCTGCGCTGGCTCGAGATCTTCGTTGCGATTGCCAGAGATCCCCCGGCCATGGCGAGCGCTGCTCGCTGCGCCAGATACCGGATTCGACGCACCCGCAGGGCGCCCGCTGCGAATCGGGCCCTTCACCACAGGCGTTTGCGTGGCTTGGGCGTGGACGAGGGGACTGGTTTGCGTGCCCTTTTTAAACCGGAGCGGGCCCGTTTGGGTCGACGTCGACCGCCACGTCGTCGCTGGTCTCGTCGGCATTGTAGCACCAGCGCCCACAGCCACCAGGCGCTGCTGGAATTGCGGCGCCGTGGGGCCAGCCGGGTGCGCTGGCGCGGGGATAAACATTCCCTGAGCGGCAAACTTCGCAATGACGGGGCTAGGGAGCGCTTCCCCACTAGCGTACTGGTAGCCGTCGATGAATCCTTGCATGTAATTCAGCTCCGCTGTTTCGTTAAGCTCCTTTTCGTGGCGATGGTCAACGTCGCGCTCGTCAGCCTTTTTGACACGGGCTGTCAATTTCTTCACTTTCTCGCGGAGTATATCAATCTCTTCCTGAAGCTGGCCCATTTCCTTTTGATGGCGCGCTTCGGCTTCGGGGTCTACCACGGAAACCGAGCGACGAGCGCCTTCGCGGCGCCGAGGGGGAGGAGGCATGATTTCAATGTCATACTCGTATTGGTTAGCCGGCGCCCGAGTCCCCGAATGGGGCTGGTTGTAGGTGGACATCCGCACCAGGCCCGCGGGCGGGTTCGGTGGGTAGCGCTTAACGTCGCTCGGCGACGGCACCCGGTCCCGCACGAGGTGGACGTGGCTGCCTCTGAGCCTACCCAAGTCAATGCGGGGGTAGTCGTTTTCCAGCGGCGCCCGGTCGTACGGGCGGAAGCTTCGAGACTCAGACATTTGCCAGGGCGTACTCCAAGGGGGGAGTGTTTGATGGTGGTGTACGTGGGTGCGCCCCACGCGAGTAACCGCGCGAAAAAGAAAAAAAAGAAATTCAGCCAGCCGCAGAGGAGAGACACCAAAAAGACTATGCCAAAGAAGTAGGCATACAGCAGAGCAAATGTTAGTCTGCAGCAGCTAATGGGTTTTACCGAGGTTACCAAAATCCCGTGTTACATTTCTTCCTTGGAGACCAATGCTTAAGTAGATTTAGTCGTTTTGTGGCCCACGCCATCGGGGGCGGCGCCCGCCCTGATGCTTGCCCTCTGTGTAATATCCGGGGAGCCCGTATTCCTTGAAACGACCCATGACGTTATCGTTTCACCCCGAGATCCTCTCGCCAACCGTTGCCACTGCCCGTTTCCACATTTTGCGTCCGTGGCGTTATTGTTGGCGCGGTGCTCGATGGATCGGGTGCAGGTGGCAGCTACATCTCAAAATGCAGGGTTAGTGCCCCCCATCGGCGATGCAGTGCACGCTACGTCAGCAGGAGCTGGTGGCCACCCCTCGACAACGCCGCCAGCACTGTCCCTCTGCTCCCCCCTCCCCCACCGCAAATGCTGAAAATTGCTCGGTAGCCATATGTGCCGAAGCCAGCACCAACGTCACTAAACAATCGCGCCAGAGCGCCCATGTAAGACAATAACTGCACAGCCTCTCCCACGTATCTTCGAGAATGCTAAATCAAATTTTCCGATAACAATAAAGAATTGTGATATATTCATCATTTGATACACCCACTCAAAGCTTTGATATTCCATATCCTTGTCTTGTTACCTCGACCTGGCAGAGCGCCTCCGCGGCGCCGGATCGCGAGTCGCGCACTGCCACGTCTTGATCTCGACCGGACAGGGTGCCTCAGGGTAAACACCACCAGCCAGACGGAGCCCCCAAGTCTCAAGCCAGTGCTTCTCGTCACCGATCCCCCATGGGCTTGTTTGCGTTGCTTGTCGCCTACGTCGTGGGCGGGGTCACGTTCCTCCCGGGGCTCTTCTACCTATATTTCATCTACCTCCCCAGCCACCGTCTCGCCAAAGAACCCGAGGTAGCGCCAATAGCGCTGTCGCTGGTCCACCTGCGAGAGGCGTCGCCGTCAAAGCTGCTGCTGCTGTCGCTGATACGCGCCGGCGAACTCGAGGAGTTGCGCTCGCTGGGGTTGGAGGCATACAAAGAGGGCTGGATCCTCGTCACCACCGAATACCTCGAGTCCGCCGACGATCTCACACCAGCGCCGCCAATCTCGGACCAGGATACCAAACTGGCATACCTGACGCTTTACAAATTGGCTCAACACCACGTCAATGATGATGGCAGTACCATCCCTCATCCGCCGCGGTCTGCTGGTAGCGCTAGTGCTACCGCTGCTGCCTCGCCAACTACTGATCCTCAGGAGCGCAAACACCGCTACTACGCTGTGCTTAAGCACGGTAACCTTTTCCTCTATAAGGACGAGCGGTGCGCTGACGTCAAACACGTCATTGTCCTCTCTAACCACTTTGTGCGGTTATGGCCGCCCCAGATGATGGAGCTGGCGCTCTTCACGAAGTACTCCGCGATCGCCGTGATCCCGCTGGAGTTCATGCCGATGATGGAACAGCTGCTGGCGCAACCGCCGCCTAAGGGCGCGGCGTTCTTCATCTACTGTGACTATAATATCGATAAGGAAGACTGGTGGTTTGCCCTCATTCGAGCTACGCGTCTCATCAAAAAGCTGGCCCTCACCGGTAGCTCGTTCGACCCCATGATCTACGCCAAAGCCCTTCACTTTGACACTAAGCATATGATCGACTTGATCTCTACCCTCTACTCCAGTGAAGGGCAATTGCAGACTAAATGGCTCAACGCGTTATTGGGACGGTTATTCCTTGGCTTACAAAAAACTCATACCATCCATAACTGGTTGTACAGTAAACTTCTGCGGAAACTTACTAAGATTAAGAAACCCGGTTTCATGGACGAGTTCAAAATCACTCACATCTATCCTGGGGACTCGGCTCCGTACTTCACTTACCCTCAATTGAAGGAAATTAACCCTGATGGCACCGTCATTCTCCTGACTTACCTCACTTATACGGGGAAAATGCTGGTAGAAATCGCCACCAAAATGTCAATTGCCGTCGCCGGTTTACGCCTTAACAAACGTGATATGGATGTCACCTTGAAAATCACGTTGAATAAGTTTGCTGGACCCATGCTCATCAAGATTAAGCCTCCACCTTCAGAAAGAGTATGGTACACTTACGAAACTGAACCACAAATGGAGCTTAAGATCGAACCGGTGGTGCTGAGTCGCCAATTGCTGTATAACTTTGTCACCAACCTGATCCAAAAGAAGTTTGAAGAAGCAATCCGTGACCTGTTGGTGCTTCCTCATTGGGATGACATGACCTTCTACGATACTCAGGATGAAGTATACCGCGGTGGTATTTGGGATAAACTGGTTCGTCCCGAAACCACTGAAGACGAACCGTCAACAGCTGCTTCATTGGAAAAGGCCCCGCTGACTCGTCTGCGTAACTCGCTGTTATCTTTAGCGACTCAACTGACCAAAGAGTCTAAAGAGAGCACCGACCATGAGTCATTGGATGAAGTCGCCGATGACCTTCCTGACCGAACCCCACTGGCTAAACGTATTCAAAAGGCAGCGCTGTCGACATTCTCCAAGGCTCAAGTGAAAGCACAGGCGATGAGACAACGGCTTCGCAACTCAAAATCGTTTACTCTAGACGGACTTCTGTCACCGAATAGCGATGCTGACTTAGCGTCGCTTGCCGACTCGGTGGCCACTGCCCCCGCCGTTCCCATCGCTAAGCCTACATCACTGACTAGTCTGTCGGGTAGCGGAGCGTTGAAGAAGATCGGCAAATGGTACTTTAAGGATGATAAACCGCCGTCGCCAACGGTACTGGAGCACCTGTATACTCCGCCACAAATGATCTCCAACCGGCGTGGCCGTAAGACATCCAACGTGTCGATGGGTAACCCCCTCGAAGGGTTTGACCGTCCCCCCACTGTCAACCCTGATTTGACTAAGAAACCGTCGTATGACTTTGGTAACGTCGGTGAAGGGTTTGGTAGTGGCGACACTTCCTCGGTACACTCCCATGAAGAGACGTTCCTCGAAGACCCGCCGCTGGCATTGATGCCGTCAGCGCCTCAATTTGACGATGCCGCGATCGATTTGCTGGAAGATGAAGCCCCCCACCACACGCTTGCTAATCGTGCCCTGTCTAAGCTGCTTCGGCGTAAACCGCCGCCGGTGGAGGACGGTTTGTCATAAAATGTATTTAGACAACTACGATCATATTTTCTCACTTCATCATACTCATTAATTGTGTCCTATTTACAAATATTCTGGGTCTACTTCACCTTTAGAAAGGCATGCCGGGCATACCGCCCATGCCGCCCATGCCACCGGCAGGAGCAGCAGGGCCCTTAGGTTCGGGGACGTCGACAATGGCACATTCGGTGGTGGCCAACAACGAGGCGACACCGGCGGCGTCGACCAAACCGTTCTTGACGACCTTGAAGGGGTCGATGATACCGGCTTCGATCATGTTGGTGAATTCACCCCTGGCCGAGTCGTAACCGATATTGAATTCCTCTTCGTCCTTGACCTTACCCACAATGACGGTACCTTCTTCACCGGCGTTTTCGATGATTCTGGTAGCGGGCTTGGTGATGGCCTTTTGGATGATTTGCACACCCAACTTTTGGTCAAAGTTGTGGCATTGGTCGTAGACTTCGTCCAAGGTGGTCGAGGCCTTGATCAAAGCGGTACCACCACCGGGCAAGATACCTTCCTGCACGGCAGCTCTGGTGGCGTTGAGGGCATCGTCGTATCTGTCCTTCTTTTCACCGACTTCAACTTCCGACGAACCACCGACTCTGACGACGGCGACACCACCGGAAAGCTTAGCAAGTCTTTCTTGCAACTTTTCGCGTTCGTATTCGCTGGTGGCCTTGTCGTCGACGGAGGCACGGATCTGTTCACATCTTTGTTGGATCATTTCCTTGGTGCCTTCACCGTTGAGCAACACAGTGTCTTCCTTGGTGATGGTGGCGGCGCCGCACGAACCCAAGAGGTCGACGGTGACGTTTTCGGGCTTGATGTCCAATTCCTCGGTGAACACGGTACCACCAGAGAGGATGGCAATGTCACCCAAGATGTTCTTTCTGTTGTCACCGAAACCGGGGGCCTTGACGGCACACACTTGCACTTGGCCTCTCAACTTGTTGAGGATACAGGCGGCAAGGGCTTCGCCGTCAATGTCTTCGGCGATGATCAAAAGAGGACGTCTGGTCTGGTTAGAAATTTCCAACGACGGCAACACGTCTTGCAAAGTCGAGATCTTCTTTTCCGAGATCAAAAGGAGGGGGTTTTCAAACTCGGTCTTGGCCGACTTGGTGTCGGTGATGAAGTAAGGCGAGATGTAACCACGGTCGAATCTCATACCTTCGGTGACTTCCAATTCGTCTTCCAAGGTCTTACCTTCCTTAACGGTGATGACACCTTCCTTACCAACCTTTTCCATGGCCAGGGCCAACAACTCACCGATGTGACGGTCACCATTGGCGGAGATGGTGGCGACTTGGGCAATCTCTTCCGAAGTGGTGATCTCCTTCTTGTTGGCTTGGAGGAACTTGACGACGTGGTCGACGGCGGCCTGGGTACCTCTTCTCAAGTCCATGGGGTTGCAACCAGCAGCGACGTTCTTCACCGATTCAGTGAAGATCGATCTCCCCAACACGGTGGCGGAAGTGGTACCGTCACCGGCGGACTCGTTGGTTCTCGAGGCCACTTCTTGCAAGAGCTTAGCCCCCATGTCCTCAAACTTGTCCTTCAAAGTGATCGAACGGGCGACAGTGACCCCGTCCTTAGTGATCTTGGGAGCGCCAAATTGCTGTTCAATCAATACGTTTCTCCCCTTGGGACCCAAGGTGACGGAGACGGCGTCGGCGAGGGTGTTGACCCCCTTGAGGAGGGCGGCTCTGCCGTCAACGCCAAACTTCAATTCCTTGTGGGACAAGTTCCGCACAAAAGTTCTCGTGGTCGATCTCAACATTGTTTGCGGGATTGGAAGTGGGAGTGGTGGGCCGCTTTAATGTGAAAAATTTTGGCCGTGGGTGGAAGGGGATGGAACCTACCAGCGTGCGTATCACGTGACATACTTGCGCCGAGCGAATTATTTCATGGAATTCCCCGATTGCCACCGGATAGAAGTGGTTACAGATGATAGGGAGTTAAAGAGAGGTTCTAGCATGTATCCAGATAGTTTATTTCATTCATTACTGCTAGTTTTCATCACATTTTGTGCGCCCACGTTGTAAACTCTCCGATGCTCGGTAATTTCGGCACCGAGCGTTAATATGTGGGGAGGCGGTCGTAATTTGTCACCAGCCACTACCCAACAGGTTATTGCTTCCAGTAGGGGTTATGATGACTACAGCGAATACTTTTCAAATATACTGATACCTGAGATCACTAAAGGTCAAGACTTACGTTTATTAAACCCATCTTGTGCTTTATTCCTTAATTTTTCAAAAGTCTTGTGGAAGCAAGGGTGCGTGACGATCGATGGAAATTCGAAGCGTAGATGCGCAATCACCCTGCAGTTCACAAATACAAAAGGTGGCTGATTTAAAGGGCTTTCTTAAGGTTAAACGATGTTACGTGATATCAAAAATCAAAAATATAGTCACTTTAATCATAAATCGTGATCTATAGTCAAATCTGGTAGCGGTAGCGACAGAAGGAAGTGATGACTGCAAGGATGTAAATGCGGGTTCGATGACATTCTACGTTGCCAACAACCCCCCCTACAATGTAGTGTTCCGTTCTCGTTTTCATTAAATCATAACTAAACTATTCCTTGACGAAGATCGAGGCAGCACCTTGACCCGAACCAATGCACATCGACGACAAACCAATGTCACCGGGCTTCATTTGAGGAAGCGCGGTGGCGTATTGTCTGGCACCGGTGGCACCGAGAGGGTGGCCGAGGGCGATGGCACCACCGTTCTTGTTGACGCGGTCCAAGGGGATACCGACGTGTTCAAGCGAGAAGAGGGCCTGGGCGGCGAAGGCTTCGTTGACTTCGTAGAGGTCGATGTCGTTGACTTGCAACCCGGTTCTCTTCAACACTTCGGGGATGGCGTAGGCGGGACCAACACCCATGATTTCAGGGGGGACACCGACGACGGAGCAGAGGACGAACTTACCGACAATGGGCAACCCCTTCTTTTCGGCGACGGATCTCTTCATCAACAAGACACCGGCTGCGCCATCGGAGACTTGCGACGAGTTACCGGCGGTGGTGACCCCGTCGGCCTTGAACGCGGGTCTGATCTTGCCCAACGATTCGGCGGTGACACCCTTTCTGATACCTTCATCGGTGTCGACGGTGACGGTGACCCACTTTTCGTCGTCTTCGTCGCCTTCGTTGATGAGGGCTTCAATGGGCAAGATTTCCGACTTGAACTTGCCGGCGGCCTGGGCGGCTTCGGCCTTGTTGAACGACTTGGCGGCAAAGGCGTCTTGCTTGGCTCTGGGGACGTTGTACTTGGCGGCAACGTTTTCGTTGGTGATACCCATGGGGATCATGCACTTTTGCATTTCGGGGTCGTCAATGAGGTGTTCGTCGACGGTGGGCAAGGCGCCGGCACCGTAGTTCTTCGACATCGATTCGACACCAAGGGCCAAACCACATTCGATCTCGCCGGTCTTGATCTTGTTGGCAATGTCGGAGATAGCCATGAGCCCCGACGAGCAGAATCTGTTGATGGCGATGAAACCGGCGGTGTAAGGGATACCGGCAGACAACATCGCCCCTCTGTGTTCGGTGGCCCCGGCACCCTTGTTCAACACGTTACCGACGGCAACGTCCTGGATGTCCTTGGGTTCGACCCCGGTCTTCTTGAGCAATTCGGCGATGAACTTCGACAAAATGTAGTCGGAGCCGACGTCCTTGAACTTACCCTTGCCCCCTCTGGTGAGAGCGGTTCTGTAGGCGCCGACGATGACGACGTCGTCGGGGTTCTTTTGTCTGATGGCGTCCTTACCGGTGGGGTTCAATTGGCCCGACAATTGGTTCAATCTGTTCATGCTAGTAGTTGTAAAACTGAGGGATCAGTGAAGGAAAGACCCCGGGGTTGGAAACGCGGGGGTTTATATAGTCCGAGTGCTTCCTGCGTATACTGCGGTTTCATATGCTATGCCTCGGTCAATGGGAGGGGGGTCAGTGTTCGCACTGAGTGCGGTGAAAAGTGGGGTTTATCGGGCCCGCCGCCGAATCGGAAACAAGCCGCTAGAACTGATGGGCGTGGTTTGATGATGCTACGTAGAGTGTCATTCTGGTACTATTGCAATTACTGATTAGCGTAAATTTCCGGAAACCCCACCCGCTCGCAAATTGGGGGTTATTCACATGGCAATAAGTCGGTCCCCGAGTACTGCACACAAGCCTGAATCGAAAGGCTCGCTCTTCCTGGGGGATGTCATATGAAAGCCGACCCCACAAATGACAGCCGGCACCTGCTCTATCGTAGAAGACCTCGGCAGATAAACCCGCATTGCGCACGTTTTTTTTTTGGCGAGGCCTTTTTTGAATGTTTTTTCTTCGATATGCCCCCCTTGTGCCACCGTGAGTGACCTCACCCGCCGCCAACTGGAGGTGATGATCGGTTCGGCGAGTTTGCTTGGCGGAACCAGCATCCGACCAACACCACTGTCCCTCGACCTGCCCCACTATTTACCATAACCACAACAATCGCCAAGTAATAGAGTATAGGCTACCGCTGATAAAACCGTCTTGAAACGTCGGTGGCAGGTACCGATAACGGTTTACGTTTTATCTCAATGTATACGACGTTGAATGTATTAAGACTCTATGTAGCCGCTAAACGGTGGAGCGTGGGTGTGCTTGCTTATCTAACCAAACCGCTAATGAAATTTTTCACCCGTGTGCCTAAGGCACGTTCCCAAACAGGGTAAACTGCTCGGTCGCCACCCCTCCTTTTGTCCCCGCGCTGGATCCGGCAACCCGAGCTAGCGGCTCGCCCACCGCTGAATACCCGAGCACTCAAAACTTTCCGGTACCGGCACGCCAAAGCGCGGCTACCGTCGGCAACCTGGACACACACACACACAAATGGGCGCTATTGCTTGTGGGGATATTAGTGACACTTATCCCAAAGAATTAGAAAACTAAGAGTCTTCCTTTTCAAAGCTGAAGATGCCGATAAACGGCTCAATATTATCGGGGCGTCCGTCGGGACACTTGCCGCGAAATATAAGCGTCGGCACCTCGACGTCGTCGCCTTGGGTGGCGGGGCTGTCGACCTGGGCGGCGTTCTCCTCGTCGTCAGGGAAGAAAATCTTGGTGAAATCGATGCGGAGCATGTCATCGTCGTCAATGACCACGTAGAGCTTGTATTTCTGGTTGATCAAGTCGTTGGAGTCGTTATAATGGATGAGTCCTTTAGTAGTGCCCGTGATCACCCCCATGGTGCTGCCGATACCCATCAAGTCGGTGCCGACAATTTTGATGAAGATACCCAGAAGCCCAAAGGGAGAGCAGTGGATCTCAAGCTCGCACTCGTTGGCATACTGGAACACGATGTTGTCGTCACTCATGCCAACGCATTCGAAGGAACCCACCACTGTTGATCGTTCGTGTTTTTTTTTTTTTTTGCGCGAGACCAGGGCTCACACGCACAGGATTTTGTTAGCTTATTCACCGATTAGGTGACTCAAAAGTGGCTCTACCTTTCAGTATCTATTTCTATGACAAAAAGGAAGACGCGCAACATGCCGAAAGCGCGGGAAAGGGGTATATACGTAGTGGTCATCGGTGAAAGGAAAGGGCCCGCCTACTCGTGCAATTGCTGGTACAAGCTGTTTACAACCAGTGAAACATGATGAACCACGTCGAGGTCGACGTTGGCGCCGACCCACTTGTCCGGGTGCCATCTCACCCGCTCCGACCGCAAGAGCGATGCCATTTCGTCGCCGGCGATGGTCTCGTAGAACTCTTTGATCGACTCAAATGTCAAAACTTCGGCAAGCTCTCCGTCCTTAAGGGTATCTTGAGTGTAGTATAATGGCGGGAGAATGGGGAGGTTAGTCAGCGATAAGAAGCTCTCGCGGAGCGCCGCAGTAAAGTCCTCGGCAACAATGCGTTTGTCGCCAATGTGGACGCCTTCTTCAGACTCGTCCATGAGCCCCGCCAGCGTCACGGGGAACTCACCCACGATCTGATAGTCTTGGCGATGATACAGTTGTTTAAGCCGGTATGAAAGCGGTACGTCACGAGTAGACGGCATCGCCGGAGTAGTAAAGCGTGATGATGACGACAAAGGCGGAGCTGCTTTCTCGGGAGTACCGTGGTGGCTTCCTGGTCGCAGATTGGGTCGCAGGTTGGCGGGTGTCAGTTGGGATAGCGGTGTTTGTAGCGGTTTGGAACGTAATTCTTCACGGGGAGTCAGCATTGAGATATCGTCGACCATCTCGGTGATCTTGGTACCCGCTGGCGTCTTCACCAGATGCAGTAAGTTGAGTAAACGATGTCGGTGAGCCTTGGACACAGTCGGGGTATGATGGTCCATAGTGAACTCCAGTTCACTCTGGGTTTCGTCAGGCTTAAATTTAAGCCGTTTGCGTCCGTAGCCTTTCGCTTTTAATGGCTGAGGACACGGGGTGGAGTCGCTAAACGAGAGTTTAAGCAGGTAACACAGCCCTTCGCCCCCCAGCGCGCTGGTGGCAGGGGTGTGGTGCAACATCAGCGCGTCCAGGTCGTCCATCATCCGTTTGCGAGTGAATACCGGTGGAGTATCAATCAATATCTCCAGCCGGGAGCTGTCACTACTGTCGTCACTGTCGTCATCGTCGTTAATCGTCTGGTTGGCGGCGACAAACGAGTCGCCGGAGTCGTGCCCCTCTTCAATCACCTCCAGCTCCAAATGCAAGTTGTTTAGCTTCGCCATCGGCGACAGAAACAGCACCAGTTGCAGGTGGAACAACGGGGTGCTGGCGACGACCTCGAACGCCAGCGAGTTGGGCCGTTTCGGGGTGCTGGTTCCCGTGGTATCGTCGCCGTCGGCGTCGGGGTCCTTGGGCGGCCACTTCTGAGGCAGCCGTCGTGGCAGCAGATGGGGGTCGGGGGGGAGACTGGGGACCCGCTTCATTGGTAAACAAATGCGGACCGCGGGTGGTGCGAAGACGTAGGTGTAAAAGGCGGTGATAAGTGTGAAAGAAAAATGGTCACCATAAAAACTTTTTCAGATGGGTATTTATGTTTTCACTAAGTTGGTAATAGTAAAAGTGGTTAGTTATAAATTTTAGTGAAATTAGTGTCTAGTATGAGTAGTATGAACAGGAGACTTACGTATGGGGCGACGCGAAACAAGTTTCAGGCAATCACCATGAGTACACAAAAAAACATTAATCAAAAGGAACTACCTGATATAAATCTCAAAGCCTAATAAGACTAAACTGGCTGAGAGACCATTCATTTCTTAAGTGTCCATTACCTAGGCTGGAAATCACTATCCCCCTCAAGTTGACGAAAATTTCCGCGCGCGACTTGCGATAAACACACCTCGACCTGCCTCTCATGAACAGTACCCTCAGCAACATCATTGATGAGTTGGGACTCACCTATGATGAGCTGGTGGGACTATTAGACGGCGACGCGGTGCGGACGATACCCCTGGTCAACGTGCTCAACAATCTCGCCACGTTACTCAACCGATTCTCCACCGAGCTCGATGCCGTCGACGAACAGGACCGCAAGGCGCTTGACCTTTTGAACGCCACTGGTGATGCCGAAGACGATGACGATGAACACGTGGCTAAACGCCGACGCATTGATGGCGGCGACGATGAGCTGAACTCACCGTCTACCGCGAATTCGTCTGCTGACGTTAAGGCGGAACCAGTCACCCCTACTAAAGGCTCAACCAATAATGCGGTGGTGTCAACGCTGCTGGTGGTGAAAAGTCTTCAGGAAGCCGCAAAGGATTTAGGGTTATGGAACGAACCGGAACCCGCCCACCCCGATCGAGCTTATTACTGCCGCAAGTACGGGGTAGCGCTGTACCCTACTAATGACTTACAAGATTACCTTCCGGGGCAAATTCCTGATACCGATTTCAGTAAAATCAAGCCCCCGAGCAACCCGGTGCAATTGTCGACGTTTCAAGCATACATCGAGCTGTATTTCCGCCCGTTTTGTAACACGGACATTGACTTTCTCGAGGAAAGCAACGTTATCCCCCCTGGCATTGACGCCGACTACGATCCTGACGTCACTCCCTACTTAATTCCCAAACTTGGCGAACATTATAACGATCTGTGGGATGATGAGGACGCCGGCAAGACCTCGGCAGGGTTACCGAGTCACGTGCGCCCCCTTGAACTGTATCTGGCCCAGGGGACCGTCGACAACCTTGTTGACGAAAACCTCTATACGGAAGAAGTGCTGTGCGGCCCCTTACTGCTGCGACTTTTGAGCGCAGTGCTTCTGACCCACGAAGCCAACGCCAGAGATATTGACGATGACGAAGCCTCAATTAAGCCTGAAGACGATATCGTCGCCACTCAGCTCGACTCGGTTGAAGACTATAAAGTCACCGCCAACGTCAGCGACTACCTGTCGTTTGAAGACCGGTTACGCCGTGAGCTTAAGTACATTGGCATTTTCACCAACCTACCCATCATCGACGAGGCGGCATCGACCAAGGCCGGCGCCATCGTCAAGAAGCCGCCTCACACTAACCTTGTTGATCACCCGGAAGAGTGGTTGATGAACCGCGAAGACGATGAGGTGTGCGGGGAGATGCGTAAGCTCCAGCATGAGCTTCGGGCGGCAGTGCAGCGCAACCGCGACCACCGTAAACGGTTAGTACTGATAATTGAGGAACAATTGGCTTACCAGGAATATCAGACGATTTTGGAGGACTTGGACAAACAGGTCGACCAGGCGTACATGAAGCGGTTAAAACAGAAGAACAAGAAGAAAAAGCTGACGTCGACGACAGCCCAGAAAACCACCCCTGAGCTGCAGCAACAACTACATCAGCAACTTCAGCAACAGCAGGCGGCTAACCTGGGGTTGCGCGCGCTCTTAGACAAGCGCCAGCGGTGGATTAACAATATCGGTAAGCTTTTCCCGCCGCCGGAGGTGATGAAGCGGGTGCCGAAGGAACTGATTTTGGGGACGGAAGGCGACGACAACGACGGCGACGGCGACGAGGTCACCACCACCACCGACTTAATTCGCCAGGCAGAGTAAAATCTTACGTGGGTGTATAATTTTGATCGCTGTGCATGTACTTTTTAATGAGACACGACTAACGCAGAGCTTAGGGCTGGTAGGTGCGATTCTAGGTTGGCATATCTTCCTGTTTGGCCGAAGTGGCCACGCTAGGGCGGGATGTTTCCGTATTTTTATTTTAATTTTTTTTTCGGGGCGGGTGCTCACATCGCTGTTCCCCTAGGTGCCTCGAATTAAGCAGACCCTTAGGCAAGGGGCGCGCGTTGTTTACTAGGGGCCCTCAGAGACAGACAATCTCAAGTTTACGGCACTGTCGTAGATGATCTCGAAGTCTAGATAACGGCGTTAGAATCACTCGGTTCACTAGTATAGCACCGGCTAGCTCAAAACTGACGATGCTAGTGAGGCGGGGGCCCGATGTGCCATGGTTGAACCTAAATTCGGGTCGCCCGCTTCATGTATTGTCGTCAATGCCAAAAGCGTGCCTCGGACGATAGTTTAGGGCGACCTAATGGGAGCAGCGCTCGGAAGCTCTAGAACCACCAGCCAGCAGGAATCTCGACTATAAATATCTGGTAATTTTCTCCTTGGTTTCTTTAATTCAATCACCTTTGAAGTCACTACTACACTATCACAAATGAAGTTCACCACCGTCGCCACCACCGCTGCTCTCGTCGCCTCCGTTGCCGCTGCTCCTGCCCCTCAAGCCCAAGCTGCCGCTGTCGCTGAAGGTGAAGCCACCTTCGGCATCATCTCGGGGATCTTGAACCTGTTGTTCGGCGGCTGGGGTAACAAGCTGTACTACTACAAGAAGAAGATCACCATCATCAAGGACTACCACTACCGCGACCACTACTACAACTTCCCTCCCCAATACGTCCCCTGTGGGTGCCACAGCGACGCTGCCTACGCCGTGTCCGAAGACAAGGCCAACGAGCTCCTCCAAGACTCGTCGTACGCCGTGGAAACCAACACTGCCGTCACTGCTCTCCCCGATGACGCTGACGCCGCTGGTGCCGTTCAACCCGTTGAAGACGCTGCCAACGCTGCTCCTGCGCCTGCCCCTTCGGCTTAAATATGATTACCCAATACTTCTCGACATGGCCTCCAATTTAAAGGGTCGGAGACACCAGTGGACTAATTTGTTTGAAAATTATGATATCTATAATAAAAATGCTAGCGAAAACAAATACGACTGTAGACGTTCTTGACAAGATAATAGATGAATCACCAAAACTACTCTTTTATTATATCCTTCACTTCATTACTTTCTTCGCTAGCTTTGGCTGTTTCGGCAGATGTTGCCGATTTCGGGATGAAGAGAGCAAGACAAAGTCCCTGGTGATGGCCGAAGATGGCGCTAAACTCTGATCACCAAAAGCGGAGATTTAGCCGTCTCAATTGGGTGGGAGATCGTTTGCCGTTTGGTATGGTTATGAACGGGCCGTTACTTGTTTGGGAAAATGGCGAATTAGGCAGTCTCTTAGACTAGTTTAGCGTTAGTAGAGGCGGACTAAACTAGCAAGATAGATTGGGCTAAACGTACAAATAGTGGCCATTATATGCAATCACAAATCAGTTTACCGTTCACAAGACTTCACCAGCCACTTCTACTCAAATTACATTATAGCACCCACAATCACATGCTATTCTCCCACAGGAGTACGCAAAATTTCGAGAGGCGATCGTTCCATGCTTGTACGTGTACATCTGGGTCAGGTACCACTGGTAACCACCGACGTAGGTAGTACTTATATTTGGTATATCGGTGATGGCCGCAGCCTGTTGATAACACTCGGGGTTCCCGTGCGTCCAGCCCCATAACAAAAGTCGCGTCGCCAGTGAACACGTCACCGTTGTCACCTCACACGTAGGCCAGCAGGAGGCGCCGGGGAAAGTAGAAACTTGAAAAGGCTATACGTATCCTGAAACAACAGGTTATGTCAGTTAAAATCACCATAGCCACGAAGCTGGGTGTCTTCGGACTTACCCACGGGTGTCCTCCGTCGGAGTTGTCGCTGCGGCCATCTGCGAACCGCAGCGAAAGCCGCGTGGTGGATGTATCTCAGATTATGACGTCACCACGTGCAACGAACACGATATCAATTAGGGAGGAGCCAATCCAGCCCCAAACCACTTTCCTTCAATCAGCCAATGAAAATCAATATGTTTTGCAAAGCCCTATACCTCTCATCGTCTCTGGTGGTTGTTTCGACGCGTCTAGGCGGTGTTTGGCCCTGGCTGCTCCCCCCGCACTATCCTCACTACGTGCATCTGTGCGATTAACCGCCGTGGTAAAACCTTAAACGGAGATCGTCACCGATGACCCGGCTATCTACCCCCCACGAGGCTAGCACTACCAATAGCCACAGGTGAAACAGCGACTATATAGACGATTCCGCCGTTGTCGGGGGCGAAATCCAGGTTCACGTCCTTCGTCGCCTCAGGCGAACTTTTCCGTCACCTCAGCGAGACGTAGTCGACGAAAGTAAACCGCGCCTCGAAGCGGGGCCTTAGCCGAAAACCACCGCCCACCATCGATACCACGCCGCGTATAAAGTTAATTATCAGCATAGTCAAAACTGTTGGAATTTTGTAGGGTCCAGGTTGTCATCGTGATTAGCGAGATTCATTTGGTGAGCGTGATTGTGGCGGTCGCTTACTTAACCATTTGTATCTGCCAAAGGGTCGCGACCCCCTACTAGCGGTGTTTACCACCAGCCGCAGCGGACTCGGGGTTACCCTGATAAATTGGATAATAATAATTGTTACGAGTAGTAACTGATTGCGAGACGAGGCTGAGTTTGCTGCTAGGCAGTGGCGTGATTGGGGGGAGGGGGCACATTCTCTCGACTAAGCGTGTCGGGGCCTGGCTGATTTCGGTAGCCGCACTACCCCCCGCTCGTAGACGACTACATCCTCGAAAAATAATCTCGTCGCACTACAGGAGACAGCGCATTAAAATTTTAACCACCTGAACTCCTCCCTTTCCCGAATACCTTCGACCCGGTTTACCATCGCGACCAATGAGAAAGATCTGGTCGTCGCGCAAGGACAGGGACAAGCGCAAGCTGATGAACCCGGAGCCGGCGACGGCGCCGGCGGCCGCGGCGGGGTCGTCGATAGCGCCGGCCAAGTTGGCGATCGCGCCGCCGCTGGCGTCGGCGCCGGCGCCAGACCACTTGGCCCGCTTGGTCCGCCCCGAATGGGATCTGACGCCGATGAAGCACCAATGGCTCAACGTCGCCCACGGGCCCACCGCCCACTCCGGCGACATCGAGCTGTCGTCGCGCGCCTACCGCGCCGAGCTCAGAGGGTCCCACTTATACCTCTACAAGGCGCCGCAGTTCAAGCGGTTCGCCCTCGACGACTCAGTGGGACCCATGGGGACGCCATTGACCCCGAAAATGGACAAGTTTGACGACGTGGCGACGATGGCGCTGGGCGCAGGCACCGCCGTCGCCAGCATCGCCCCCAGCACCGCCACCAGCACCAGCGGCACCGTCAGCGGCGCCTCCATCGGCGCCCCGACGCTCGTGAGCCACCAGGGCGCGACGCCGATGGGCGCCGCCCTGAGCGCCGCCTCCACCCTTACCCACTCCACCCATACCGGCCCTTACTCCCAATTAAACTACAGCACCGCCACTTTGGACGAGCACACAGGATTCCACATCACCCACTACTCCCCTTCGATTCATCCTCAACTTCAACGGAACCCGGAAACCGGTAAATTTGGCGTTACCTCAGTGGAGGCTTTAGTGCATTATATGCTCTTTGGCGACGATACCAAAGCAGTGGCTTCCGTGATCAACATTCTTCCAATTGTGCCGCAGTTCTCTTCGGTGATGCAATTGATTGGCGACTTTGTAACCGCCATCGCCGAGGGGCGCTTCGGCAGTGTTGATACCATCCAAGTAGGGGAACGCATTCTCCAGCTTTTGGCGAATATTGAGGCCAATTTCGGTGGCTTTTTACTTAAAAAGGACACGGCGCTGCTAGTGCTCCAAGTGATGGAAGATATCCAGAAACCGCTGTTTGCCCAGGACGTGGGATTGGAAGGGCGCTTGGTACAGTTTAAACTGAAGATGCTTGTCAAACAACAACAACTAATGGACTTGATTAAACCGAATCAAACAGCTACGTCAGCCACTGCTTCAACCACCACTCAACTGGCAATGCTGCTGCTGACCACCGAACAGAACCCGTTTATCGAGCTTAATCTGTTGGTGTTTATGAAGGGTAATTTATTTGAGCTTGCCCACGCCATCCTGAAGATCGACCAGCAGTACTTCCACCAGTGGAACCTGAACATCGACAAGCTGCTCCTTCTCTTCTCGCTGTTGCTGGACGCGCTGGGGGTGCCCAACTTTTACAAGCGCAACCCGTTGCTCTTCAACAACGACGTCCACATCCACTACCTTTCGCGGTTGCTCATCCACCACTTGTTTGTCGAGACGTCGCTGACCATCGACCGTAAGGCCCGCTTATTGGAGAAGTGGATCGACTTGGGGTGCTTGCTCGATAAGCTGGGTAACATGCTGCTGTGGCTTGGGATTTCGCTGGTGATCTTGAGTCAGCCGGTGTTGCGGCTCATCAAAGTGTGGCTGCTTGTGCTGAGCGACTACGTCAAGTTGTTGAAGAACGACTGGTGCCCCGTGCTCTTTGAGCTTGACCGGCGCCATCTTGCCACCGACCGCAAACCTGACGACGAAGGCGGTCCCGAAAACTTGGCCCGTGACCTGTACCACATTATGGCTCCTCGTGGGTTGGGCAAGATCTACGCTAAGGAACACGTCATCCCCTACTTTGGCGATCTTGTGATTAACAACGATAACCCTGACCCGCAAACAGTTAACGTCGACGAGCTTCAGGCGGTGTGGAAGCGCATTAACTACCTGTTCTCCCGCTGGAACGAGTACTTGGCCAACTTGACGAACTATACTGATATCATCAAGTACAACGAAGAAGTGCTTCAGCGGTACGACGCCATGGGTTTTATCTTCTCCAACGAGCTGCTAAACCAGGTGCTTTACCTCGGCGTCAACGGCACTCTCGATGACCCGCCGGCGCTGCAGAACCCGGCGCCGCCCCGTGACGACGTCGCCATCAACGCCCTCCACGCCAAGTTGGTGCGCCTCATCGACATCAACACCGAGCTGATCAACTTGGACAAGATCATGAAGCTCTCGCTCGAGCTCGAGCCCGACTTGCCCGAGCTGTACCTCAAGCCGCCGGAAAAGCCGCACGCCGTGTTTGCCCACAACCACCTGCTGCTGCTGGTGCTGGTCCACCTGGTGGAGCTGGGGATGCTGGTGCAGCCGCTGATGATCTCGGGCCCGATCAAGGCCGACCGCGGCTTCAACCGGTTGCCGCTGTTCAACAACGACTACTTGAAGGTGAGCTTGGAGAAGTACGAGTCGCCGGAACCGGTGCCCTCTGGCGACTTAGTGTTCCGCACTGAAGGGGCTCGCGACCCGCAAAACGGTACTACTGCCACCCAGGCGCCTGCGGCCGATGAAGACGACGACGATGTCCCTGGCTTGGGCATCGACGTCGACGACTTGCTTAATCTGGACAAATGGCGTAGCCAACGCCGCGACCCCGCTACCTCGGCAAATGACGACGCTACCACTGTCGACGTCGTCCTGGCTCGCCACGTACCCAGAGCGGGGACTATCGATAAGTTGATTGACCTCTTATTGATTGACGCCAAGTACTTCGAAGAGGGCGTCCACATCGACTTGACGGAGTACCGGTTCGTGTTCCTTCTCAACTACAACCTGTTCATCAGCACCAAGGATCTTTTGGACAAGTTAGCCTACCGTTTCATCAACAGTGGCAACGCCGTGATCCTGATCATGAAGCAGATGCTGCCGCTGTACCAGGTGCCTCCCGGCGAGTTCCCCAACTGGCAGCTCGACACCCTGGTGGATCTCAAGGAGCTCGGGCTGGTCGACTACGAGTTGTTGCTTAAGATCCAGATCAACATCTTGAAGGTGCTTATAGTGCTTATCAACAACTTCTACGGAAACTTTTCGGTGGAGCTCATCAACAAGCTGATCCTCATCAAGTTGCTTAAATTGTTTTCCAACGAGATTTTACAATGGTACAACTCCAACAAGATTGCGCTGCAGAACTTGGAAAAGCTGTTTGAGAACTTAGTCAATTACTACAAGAAGCTCAAGAAGTTGTTTGTGAAGAAGCTGTACCGCCCGGTGGAAATCTCCAAGTTCGACGAGTACCTCATCAACGAGTTCAAGTTCAATAACCTGTTGCACGAAGTGCCCATCAACCGCAACCTTCCGGGGCACAAAAACACTGTTAAGATCGATAAGTTCTTGCTGAAGTTCAACAAATTGTTGACGGTGTTCTACCGCGGCATCACCATCGATGACTGGATGAAGGTGAACAAGGCGTTGGAGCTGTTGTTTGAACGCAACCAGTTGCTCGACTTTAATTTGCAGAAGCTGCTGACTCCCGAGGAGTTTGTCATCATCTCGAACGTGTTCAACTACTTCGAGCTGTTGGTGGACCAAGATAAGCTGCTTATCCTTAAGAAGTTCCCTCTTGTTTTCCGCAAGCTTTTTAAGTTGTTCTTCAAATTCAGACTGTACTTGCTTATCCAGCTTACTGACGCCAATATCCTGGTGGAAGAACGGCTTGACCGGATGAAGACGCTTCTCATTATGGTGCGGATCTCTCAGGATAAGATGCGCAACGCTCCTCAAGTGTATGAAGGCGATAGCCGCACCCAGATGATCCCGCTGTGTATTGAAACCGCGGTGACGACGGTGATCTACCTGCCGGAGCTGAGAGTGTACAGCCAGTACTGGTTGCGGGCGGCGGCGCTGTTCTTTGACGAGCCCCCGGCTCTGTTTGACAACTTGGAGCTGTTGCTCCCTCCCTCGGTGCCGATGGACGACGCTCTGGAACCGTTGTTGCCCTGCTTTGGTTGGATTATCGAGAACTTGCTCCAAATCAATACCGTGCCCCTGTTTGTTGACGGCTCCATGATCAACTTCCTGAAGCGGTACTTGGTGTTCCGATTCCTCAAGCTGGTGGAAGCCCCCGACCTCATGGGCGACATCGAGCCTCTGTCCGACGACACGCGAGAGTTTGACTTCTTGCTTAAGCTTGACGAGGCGCTTGTGGCTCAAAATAGTCTCACAATCGGTGACTATCGTGACCCCCACAACCGCGAGCTGCGGCGGCTCTTCCGCCTGGTGCTCCAGCGCCAGCACGACATCTTGCTTAGAGACTACAAGAAGAAGCAGATGCGCGACCAGATGACCCACTTCTCGGGGCTGGTGCCGCCGCAGCAGCTGCCGTACGTCACTCTGTTGCTGCTGACCAACAATATCTTGACCAAGAAGTCGCTGCAGCTGCTGTTGCGCCGCCAGTCGTTGCTGTACAAGCTGAACCTGCTGCTGCGGTTTAAGATCCTGGGCTTCTTCTCCAAGCTGCGTCCATTCTCGCTTAATGGCGGCCACCACAACAACGCCAGCCAGCAGCAGCAGACTCAGCAACCAGCGCCTCCAGTATCGGCTCCGCAAACTCAGCCGCCGCCTCCACCGATTGCTGAGCGCGTGGTCAGCGAACGTGAGCTCCCCCACCAGCCGGAGATCGACCCTAAGCAGAAACCCAGTGTCGTGATCACGTTGAAGAACCGCAAGATCTTCCCCGTGTACCTCACGCCGCTCTGCTTCAAGGTTGACGGCGACAACGGCGAAGACTTCTTTTTCCAAGCGCGGCTGGAACCCGACTTCAACGACTGGTTGGTGAAGCTCGGGTTTGCCAACCGCCACTGGTTCTTCTCCCGCATGCTCAACCACCCCAAATTGCCGTCTAACCTTACTTTCGGGGTGCCCTTGGCGGTGGCTGCCGCTCGTGACGCCGCCCTTGTCCCCCACGTGTTGACGGCGATGATGAAGTATATCGAGGACGAAGGCATCAACGACGTCGGCGTCTACCGCATTCTGTGCCTGGTGCTGGAATTGACCCAGTTGAAGAACACCATCGACAACACCGGCACCTTGGACTTGTCCCCCGACTCCAACATCGACGTCCACGCGGTGACACTGGTGCTCAAACTGTACCTCCGCGAGCTCCCCGATGCCCTCTTGACGGACCAAGTGATTGAAGGCTTATTTGCTGTGAAACAAGAGGCCAACGACGACGAGATGGTGGAGGTGACGCTGCTTGCCGACTACACCGGCCCTGGGGTGGTGCTGCGGCTGGAACTCGCCCAGTACCAAGCGGTGCTTAAAAACTTGCCCACTACCAACTACCACACGTTGCGGGTGCTTTTGCTCCACCTCACCGCCATCGCCACCAACCAGGCCACTAATAAGATGACGCCGCTGAACTTGGCCACCGTGATTGGACCTGCTTTGACAGAAGCGCTGCTGCTTGATAGTTTAGTCAACAAGTTTGGCTACATCAACCAGGTGTTGGAGAAAATGATCGTCAACCTGGAGCAACTTTTCGACCCCGAATACGCCCAGACGCTGAAGCAGCAGATCATGGGCGGCGGCACCATTGCTACTGTCACCGGCACCCCCGTCACCCCTGCCTACCCGTCCACCATTATCGGTACGCCCGTGCTCAACCAGCACTCGCGCCCGGCCCACCTGTTGGACAAGATCGACGACGCCGACGAACGCGACCCCAGCGATGCTGACGACAGCGGCGACGAGGCGGTGCCCCACCACAGCCACGGGCGGGCGATCCTGGCGCCCCAGCTGGACGACGAGGATCCTAGAGGCACCATTGCCGGGTCGGCGTCACCCCCCTCGGTCGACGCCCTGGGCCTCCCCACCCCAACCATCAACGACGAAGATTATAGTGTCAATGCGTAATGAATGAGAAACGTTTTAAATGAGTGTAGATCAAGGTTACTGCCATCACCAAAAACATGTTGTACTCAAAATAAATTAGTGTAACTTGTCAATTGCTGAGAACTAAGATTTTATGATAAAAATAATTGTCATTCTGGTCTTCAAATTATTTTGACTGTCAAGGCTTTGGCCTGTGTGTAAATTTAGTTATGGGTATATTGTTATAATTACTCGGGCGCTACCACGCACGCGTTATTGAGCCATACTACAGCAGCAATTATTCTCATATTGACTGTCACCAAACAATGAGCTCCAACATCAGAAAATCCGATTGATCTTTCTGGAATCAGCCTTTACTGATATCAGGCAATTTCATATCAGTCAATTCTCGTTCATTTACAACTATACACTAAGGCTTACTCGTTCCCAGGCACCACTAGGGCCTCATACATCTCATATCGATACAATGTCTGTCGACACACAGGGCACTGAAGCTTGTGCTTCATCCAGGTTCTCAAACACTCGGCATGGAATACATGGTAACACGGAGTAACCATATACTCCTTGTGAGAGCAACGGATTTTGTCATCGGGCACCACTGGCAAAATTACCAGGGTCAAACAGATGGGACATTCGACACGAAAATTGTTGATGGTTGAAGGTGCCAGCCTGTCGCCACCAAGATTGATATCGAGCTCGTTCAGCGAGGAGTACATTTTTGATCGGGTGTAAGATGCGTTGTTTTGCGCTTGGCGGTACGTCTTTTCCAACAGGCCGACAACCAAGCCTTTAATATAAACATCTGCACGCAATTCAGATAACCTTTGCCATTCTTTGCGAAATTCTTCCTCGAGCTCATCATCAGCGTCTCTCCAAGCATAGTACTTGGTCATCAATGTCGAAAAGCTGGCGTTTACCTCGTTATCGATTCTGTTGCGGGCAACACCGCGAAGTAGCTCATGGGTCACCTCCTCAAGACGTATCTCGCGATACATTTGGGCCCTTTTTATTTCAAGTTCTTTCACCTTCAGCTGTGCTTCAAGCACTAGAGCAGCAGCAGCATGCTCCCTGGCATACGCTGCCCGCAACGCAGTACCAGCGACGTCCACCTCTTCATAGGCCTGAACCATCAATTCATTGATGGTGTTCGCCTCATGCTGGGCGGAACAGACTGGCTCAGCGGTGGCCACCAACTTATTGCTTCTGCGCAAAAAGGCCCACCACTTGTTCTTAATGTCTTTGATTGTGAACATCAACGTCAAAGCAGCGGTAGATGTTCCCCTCCCCTTGTTAATGGCACCGCTACCACTTTATCAAATTTCGAAAAAGTCCCGCCGGAATGTGATCACGCATGAGATCACCGGGACAACGAAGCTGATTATTTTCTACCGTCTCGTTCACGTACCACCCAAGCCACCCCTACGTGTACAGAGACTCTCAGTTAGCCATACCCTTGGTGTCAATGGAACTGCCACCGTGCAAGTCGGCACTTGGAAGAATGAAGGGTGGATGATTATAGTGTCGATCAAATCTACTGGGGATCTCATCGAACTTGATTCAGATTCTCTTTAGAGACCAAAAGTCAATTAAACAATGGAAGTTGATGGAATGCAGACGCGTTCCCCGCCTTTGCTCGTCTAACTGACAACGGATCGCGTTCCTCAACCAAACCCGAGCTGCGCTATAGGTGACTCTCTACCACCCTCTTCACAATAAGGGGGTGTTAGAAGCTTCAGTTCCCACCTCTGGCTAGCGCCGTGTAGCTTGACATACTTTAGTAGCTTCTTGCAACGTCAAAAGTCGAATATCCTGTAGTTAGTGATTATCCTCATGCAAATACAAATATAATGTTTTCGGGGACTGTCAATTTTCTGGATTCCAATCTACTCTATGCTAACCGGAAGGGATGTTCAAGACCAATGCCAAGTCCTTACAACAGCCTACTTTTGATAGATTTGACATATCGAATGATCTCGCCTGCCTCGACCAGCTTCCGGCCAAACCTACATAGAAATGATTGACACTAGATTATAGTAAATAAAAGTATTTGTCAGTAATATTCACCCACAAATCAAGAATCTGATGTTTGCCTACAAAAACCATTTCACAACTTCCACACTTTACGTTCTTAGTGGATCGGGTACTGACTACGAACTCGTTATATCCAACATCGTCCTCAAGTTCAACACATACCCAATGTTTTAACTTTAATAATCAGGCCTTCATATACAGAGTCTAAATAGGCATCACACATTGGAGTAAGTGGCAGCATACCCCACTTCCCCACATGCCAGCCGCATCGCGCTAACCTCCGAGCTCCAACCCATAATACCCATCCCCTCCCACCAAATACATGCTACGCCCTTAACATGGTGTTCAAGTTTACCATCGACCGCTTGGTCAACCGATATATACCCGCCAACCAGGTGAGCAGGCTCCCCCGGCCGATAGCGTGGATCCTCGGCACCCACCCGGTGCGCCCGCAACCAGACTATATCATATGGGTCGAGATCCTTCTCGGGTCGTTCTGCGGGATGGCGTTGCTTGAAGGGGTATTTAAGAGCCACACGGCGTTGACTAAGTTTCATCCGCCCATGATCATTGCTTCGTATGGTGCCAGTGCCATCCTTTGCTTCAACGCGTCGCAAGTACCGCTAGCACAACCGCGGAACGTGTTTATGGGCCATTTCCTTGGCTCGTTGATTGGTTTGTGTATTCAAAAATTGTTCTCTTTAAGTGAGGGGGCACGAGATAACTACTGGGCGCTGGGAGCTCTCCTGGTGGCAGTGGCGAGTGTACTAATGCTGATATTTAATTGCGTCCACCCTCCAGCGGGCGCCTCAGCTCTTTTACCAAGTATTGACGACCGGATCCGAGCGATGCTGTGGTGGTACTTGCCGATCCAAATCATCCTGAGTTTATTGATTATATCGGTGGCATTGATTACTGGTAACGTGGTGCGGCGCTACCCTGTCTACTGGTGGCTGCCTGAACCCACCGGCACCGCCTATAAGCTGCTGCTGCTGTTACTGCTGGCTCAACCACCACCACCGCCTCCTCCACCAGAAAAAGTAGTGGAACTGCCACCACTGCTGCTGGACCCAGAAAAGGCCGACGAGGCAGTGGTGATTACCGGTGATACTATCGATATCCCCGCCAGTCTCGACCTAGACGACGTCGAACTCGACTTCCTCCACACCATCCAGAATAAACTCAACCATCATCGCAACCTGACATCCTCAGCTTAAGCTTGGCCTCAGCTTTCCTGGCAATATTAAACTTATTTATCATACACGTTAGCAGCAGAAGCCGTTGATCACATATTTCAATCTATATTTAGGACATATAATATTCTATATCTTAAGCCCCGAGGTCTTACCCTTGATTGTCCCTAACACGCACAGCGGCACGTACTTGGGGATGAAGTCGTCGCTGTGCAACATCTCAAACAGTTCCGTAGCGTCGCGGCCAGCGTAGGTTACGATCAGTTGCGACCCACCGGGGTGGTCGTTGAGGAAGGGAGTAAGGTTGAGCACCACGTTCTTGATGATTACCCAGCAGTCTTCTTTGGTGTTATGTTGAGCCACTTCCTGTTCGGTGAACTGCTTGTCAGGGATGGCAAATTTGTCGGAATCAGATGATTTAGCAGCTGGGGAGGGACCCAGGGAGGCAGTCTTAGAAGCGGGAACAGGAGTGGCAGGGGTGCCCGTAGCGTCATCCTCACCCACGTGAATGGAAACTCCACGACCGTTAGGGTCCAAATGGACCTTGATCATATCCAACCGGAGCGCCGCCGCCAGGGTGTTGGTGAGCTTTTGCATAGTATAGGCACAGGCTTCGTCAGCAGCCAAGCGACCAAACACCACACAGGCAAGCAATGATGAACCACCCAAACGGTTATGGCCGTGGACGCCGCCAGCGACTTCACCAGCAGCATAAAGACCGGCGAAGGGAGTGCCCAGCTCATGGACCACTTGCGATTTGTCGTTGATCTTAACACCACCCATGGTGAAATGAAGCACTCTGGTCACGTAGGACACGTGGTAGCGAGCGTTAGCGTCCCATTTCAAAGGAGTATTAGGGAAAAAGCGTTTGCCAAACGGGTCCTTAATATCGCCAGCAGCCGCCTTATTGTATTTGTCAAACTCTGAAGCCAATACGCTAGGGTCAACACCAATCTCTTGAGCTAATTCCGCACCGGTGATTGTCTTCATCAAGTTACGTTGCTTATAGTGCTTAACGTGGAACTCAAGTTTAGATTCCATATCTTCAGTAAGCACGAGGCGGAGAGGGCCTCTTCCGGCTTTAAACTCCTTTTCCATCTCTCCCAGGACGTGGTCACGAGTACCCAATTCATCAACAAACCGGTGGCCTTCACCATTGAGCATAATCCCACCTTCTCCGCGAAGAGCTTCGGCGCCAAGGAAAAGGAACCGCGGTTGCAGTTTACCAATAATGGTATCTTTATCGTCCAAATCGATGAGCCCCGTCGGGTGGACTTGCACTTTATCCATATCCACACCAACGCCGTGGTTCTTCATGACGATCTTCTGGCCATCGCCAGTGGCGTGGACGCCGTTAGTCGAAGGTAAATCGATGATATCGGGGCGGTACTTGCGTAATAAAGAGTTCTTGGTGAAGTCAGCGGCGTAGCCACCGGTGGCTAAGATCACGGGCCCCTGTACTGAGTGCTTCTCCTTCAGCTTCAAATCCTTATAAGTGACACCAATTACAGAAGTATCGTCGTCACCTAACTGTAAGTCTATCACCTGGCAGTGAGTTAAAATGGCGGCTCTCTCAGGGTGGTGTTTGACCACATCTTCAAGCGCTTCGATTAACCGGTAAGTAATGGCCATACCGGGGAACTTCAGGTCGTGGCCACGGTGGGTACGTGGCTGAGAGTGTCCCCCGAGTCTTGAAACGACTGTCAAATCAAGATCAAAGTCCTGTTGGAGCCAGTGGACGGCATCGGCCAGTCTCGAAGTGAGCACCTTAAGCAACGGCGGATTGGCACGGTCTTTGGCCGTAGCCAACGAATCGTCGTAAAATTGCTTCGCCAGGTCGCCAATTTTGTATGTATCGAGCTGAGTAGAGGTTCCGGCGCCGTTAATCCCCAGGGTGGCCTTACCGGAGTTACCCGAAAGGAACCCCTGTTTATCAATCACCACCACGTTAGCGCCACGCTGGAGACACTGGTGAGCGGCTGAAAGGCCAGCGAGGCCGCCGCCAACAATGATTACCGCGTTATTAGGAATGGACATAAACCGAGTAAAGTAGTAATGATGGTGGAGGCGTCGGTGTTATCGGCGCGCGTGCGGCTCCTACTTATAGTGAGGGGGCCGCCAAAATGTGGGGCAACGGCGATTATGGGCCGATGCTTAAGAACAATTTAGGGGTAGCGATTAGTAAAGAAAATAGAGAATGGAGTACCACGGGGGAAATAGAAGTTATGGTACGATAGATAAGTTCGATTTCTTGGCTTGGCAGTTGAAAAACCGGACGATTGCGGTCGACCCGAGATGCTTTTTCATGTGGGCGATAGCCGCTTACGATCACCGCGACGATTATTGGAGCCAAACGAATGATAATTAAACGGAGACAAAGTGCGATAGGGAAAACCCTGAAGCAACCACACTGAAGCAAGCCATATATACACTGGTAATCACTATCAATCGGCTGATATCTACTCCCTTAATCCTCTTATCGTACCAGTGTCACAGGCGACGATCGAGTGTCCTGCACACGCCCGGCACGCATCGGGCATTAGCGTACCCCCGCCGTTGACTCCTCCCCCACACTCAGTCAAGACCTCAACTACATACCACAAAAGAGTACGACCATGCCCTCGTACGAAGAAGTGGCGCAGCACAACACCAAGGACGACTGCTGGGTGATCATCCACGGCAAGGTGTATGACGTTACCGAGTTCCTCCCCGAGCACCCTGGCGGTCCTTCCATCATTATCAAGTATGCTGGTAAAGACGCTACCAAGGCGTTTGACCCTATCCACCCGGGGGACACGTTGACGAAGTACTTACCGAAGAAATACCATTTGGGCGAAGTCACGGGGACGCCGCCGGCACCGGCAAAGAAGGCTAAGGCGAAGGCTACACTGCCTAAACTGGCTACGACTGAGTCTCCTAAGGAAGCACCTAAACTGGCGTCTAATGGCTCGCAAAAGGGGTTTGTTGATGAGTTTGACGTTGAATATGATGAACAGGATGGCTTAGAACCTACCCCCTTCGATACTCCTTCCAATGTACTGGGTGAAGTTGCCACTACTGAAGAAGAGGAAGAAGTGGACGAGTACGGCGACCCACTCACTGAGGACGAAAAGAAGCGCCGCTACTATCTCCAGACGATTCCTGACTTGGGGCTGATCTATAACTTGATGGACTTTGAGTACGTCGCCCGCCACGTGATGGAGAAGACGGCGTGGGCGTACTACTCGCTGGGGTGCGACGACGAAATCACGCTTCGCGAGAACCATTTGGCCTACCAACGCATCTATTTCAAGCCTCGGGTGCTTCGCAATGTTACCAATATCGACTTGAGCTGCGTTATGGGTGGTACTAAAGTGGCGGCGCCATTCTACGTCACCGCAACCGCCTTAGGTAAATTGGGCCATCCTGACGGCGAGAAAGTGCTTACGCGGCTGGCAGCGAAGCAGAACGTCATCCAGATGATCCCCACGTTGGCGCTGTGCCTGTTTGACGAGATTGTCGACGAAAAGACCGATAGCCAAACTCAGTGGCTCCAGCTCTACGTCAACCAGGACCGCGAAGTGTGTAAGGAGATCATCCAGCATGCGGAAAAGCGGGGCATTAAGGGTTTATTCATCACCGTTGATGCTCCCCAATTGGGGAGAAGAGAAAAGGATATGCGGCTGAAAAATATCGAAGACTTGAGTCACGTCCAGGGTGACGATGCCGACGCTGACCGCACTCAAGGTGCTGCTCGAGCTATCTCGTCGTTTATCGATACGGGGCTTCAGTGGTCGGATTTGCCGTGGTTCCGTTCCGTCACCAAAATGCCCATCTACTTAAAGGGGGTCCAATGCGTTGAAGATGCTCTCTTAGCCGTGGACGCTGGAGTCGATGGCATTGTCATTTCCAACCACGGTGGTCGTCAGCTTGAAACGGCGCCGCCGCCGATCCAGGTGCTCGCGGAATTGATGCCTCTATTGAAGGAAAGAGGCATCACTAAGGATAAATTCGAAGTGTACATCGATGGTGGGGTTCGTAGAGCTGGTGATATCCTTAAGGCGATCTGTTTGGGTGCTTCTGGGGTGGGTATTGGCCGTCCTTTCCTCTACGCGATGCTGACCTATGGTGACGACGGGGTGGTTAAAGCGATGCAAATCCTCAAGGACGAGATGATCATGAACATGAGATTGCTTGGGGTGACGCTGATTGACCAGTTGGACGAGCTGTACGTTGACTTGAGATACATGAACCGCTACGTGCCTGAAGATAAGTTGTTCTCGCGGGTATACGAGCCAATGGTTCCCCCCAAGTTCAAGGGTAATTTGTAACCAATAGACATCTATAGATTCTGGATTTGATCTGCGTTTTGTACCCTTTTTCATGCAATTGATTAGTGAGCATGGTTCAATAGCTAAGCTTACAAGCTCACTCTAGTATAATGATCGTGATGCCATTGAGTACCATGTGATTACGGTGAACATCGTTATGGTATCCACGATTTGGTTTCAACGTTATAGTTCCAGAGCTAAAGAATTTCAACGTTATAATTCAACGTTAGAGTTTCAACTCAATTATCATTCGGCTTTACAATTTACATTCACCTTGATAATCGCAACACTTTGAGTACCTCATATTCCTTTAAGAACCTGACTAATATAGAAAGGAAATACGTCCCCGCTCACTACTGGCCACGATATCGATACTCGTCCCATGTCCTTCCCATGTCCTGATGTCGGGACGCGGTGCGCGCACACCATACCCTCGCAGTCTAAGACGGCCCCACTAAAAAACACACTCGCCACCGGTGCCAAGACTTTTAGCCAACCTGGCAGTTTGACACCCACATGCGGCGACGAGTTGGGGTTCGACGGGCTGCAGCAATCGACGCTTCGTGTGCGCTTAGTCACCACTGGGCCCGGGGCAACCCCTCACCCCAAAGCCTTGGCACGTTGTTCGGCAATTGAGTGTCCGACACTAGTATAGCCCAGTCAATTGCCCACTTTTCTCCTAACTACAGTTGGTGAATGACTTACTAACTTTTTTCTAAGGTGACGTATACGAGTGGAATGGCCGGGGTAACGGGGGGACGCTTTTGGGAATGTGGTCCATCGCCTTTTCTCGACTTAAACTTTGTCTATGTGCAGGTATATACCCGCTTATCCCCGCAGCTCATAACGCCGAACCAACCACGGCTTAAGCCTTCCAGAGCTTTCCTCCTAACCTTTACCGTGAGCGTCATGCCCCCGCACCCTCAGCATGCCCTGTAATTAATCAGGAAACCATCGTAAATACAGCTACAAAGATATAACCCTTAGTGTCACCACCACCTTGGCTCGGTCCGCCCGGGGACACGGCGTCCATCGGCCCAGGGGGGCCTATCTCATCGCCGGTGTCAGCCGAGGCGGAACGGGCTTAGGACGCAGCTGAAACCCGACGCCACACCAACAAAGAAAAAAAATTACCAGCGTCGAGCGGCAGCCCCAGCCCCGAGATATGAAACCCAGAGCCACGCCACCCACGCACGATATAGGCGCTGCCCCCACCATGCCTCCCCCGGGACTCCGTATAAACAAATAACTATGACCACTATCAAAAATCACTGAACACATCCATTAATCATCTACATGCTGTCGGTGGCAAAACTCTCGCAGCGGTGTGCGGCGTGACGGTAGCGTCGGCAGGCAGGCGGCGGCACGGCATTCGCGCCTGTCGGGCTGCCGCTGGGCGAGAACGACCGGCGGGGGTAGGTCGAGCGTGTGTATGTGGGTGTGTCTCCTCCACGCCCTATGATGGGGGGCGAATTTTTTTTTTTTTTTTCTTCTACTGTGCGCTGAGCATCTCACGTGACCATGACCATTCGCCCTCCGCGCACACCCTCCCCTGCTCGGCGCCCCCCTCCAGGTGAGGGGGAGGCCATCTTTTTTTCCGCTTTGCTCTCCTGAACAGAAACCCCCACCGGTTTGTCATCACCCACACACCAGCGCCCCCGAGTCCACGGCGACGTCCTGCTACAGCCTAAGGTCCCCGTGGAAAGATTTGAGAATCCCCGATGGTGGTGATCAACGGGGTGAAGTACGCCTGTGAGCGGTGTATCCGCGGGCACCGGGTCACCAGTTGCACCCACACCGACCAGCCCCTCACCATGATCAAGCCCAAGGGCCGGCCCGCCACCCAGTGCGCCCACTGCCGCGAGCAGCGCAAGATGAAAAACCTCCATAGCAACTGCACCTGTGGCAACAAGAAGAAACACGCCGCGCTGTGTGGCTGCCATAAAACCAGCCACTGTACGTGCAAGCTGAAGCAAAAGGCTAAGTTGCACGACAAACACAAGCAGCTGCTGCTGGCGCTGTTGCTGCTGCAAATGCTGCTGCCGCCGCCGGTGCTCACCCCGGGGCAGATCAGCGCCTACGCCGAGCAGAACTTGGTGGCCACGTCGCAGCCGCCGCTGACGCTGCCGCCGCCAGCGCTGCTGGCATCGGCCACCGCCCTCGATAACGGCACCACTCACAGCGCCACCAACGGCAGCGCCGCCAACCCGGCGGCGGCGTCAGTGCTCCGCCGCTCGGGGATGCCCATGGCCGGCCCCGGCGAGGCCGCTTCCAACTACGTGATCGAGGACGTGGTGATGCCGTTCGAAATGTACGGCATGTTCGACTTGTTCAGCCGAGATTCCACCCCCAACCGCACCCCTTCGAACCCGCAAGATACCAGCGAGTTTGGCTATACGCTGGCGCTTCTGACCACCGCCACCCAAGCCGATCTGCAGCCGCTGTCGACGCCCCAGCCATCAACTAAACCTACGGTGCACGGCGTCGGCATCGCCCTGGGCGGCATCCCCGACGGCGAGCTGTACTTGCCTCAAAGCGACTTGGAGATGGTCGACCGCATGTTCCCTCTTTTCCCGCTTGTGGGCCTGGCGCTGTTGGAGAACGAGGACACATTGTTCATCGACAAGGAACAGACGCAGCGACAGGCGCTGTCGCTGCTGACGAACCCGTTCTTGGCCAACTTGAACCAACGCAACCCCCACATCAGCCAGTTGGAAACGCTGCTGGTGTCGGCGCCCATGCAAGGCATCAACCGCCCTGAGCTGGTGCTTCTGGACCTGCTGTTCGACGTGCCGTTGCTGCTGCTGGCGTACCCTCCGCTGGCCGACGGCCACACCCTGGTGCCGAAACTACTGTCGCAGCTTCTGCTGGACTTCTTCAACCCCGGCCCCGTCCTCAGCGAGTTGGACCAGGGCCTGTTTGACTACGACGAGCGCGACTTCGGCTCCGGCTCCCGCTACCGCACCGCGACGCCGCTGGTGCCCGAGGACCTCCCGTTACCCAGTTCCGGCCTCCCGCACGCGATGCTGACGTTGAACCCGGCGCTGGATCTGCAGCCGCCATTCCAACAGGTGCCGTTTCTGCCACTGGCGTCGTTCCAGTGACAATGGGTGTTTAATTAATATCGGGAGAAGTGACCACAAATCTATCCATTCCCTTTCCAGCGCAGCGCTTCGATGACACGCTGCCGTCTAGTTGTACGATAATGTTTTGATAGAATAGTCCTTTTTTTTTATATTTTTGTGAGGATTTCTTTTTTTGATTCCTATGTATTTTCGCCGTTGTTTTAATAGACCTCTTTTTTTCCCTTGTGAGATTAAACACGACACTTCAGTCTCTGGCGAGCTGTGGTTCCCCGGAACGACATTTGTCGGGCGAGGTCACATGTCGCGATGGGATGTATGGTAGTGCCGTGTCGCCCGGCTCCGTCGGCTCCGTCGACAAAGCGGCGTTGCCCCTTCCCACACGCGTCGTGGAGTAAAGCACAATGCCTTGCATCGATCTGGCATCGATTTGGCACAATGTAAAGCCCCCTTTCAGGTGTCGGCTTTGTCGTCGGCGTCATCACTCAATTTAAGCTTATCGAGCCGGTTGACGTTGGAGCTCACGGTGCTGTCAGTAACCACCGTTTGGTGGTGGTGGTGCTGGCGTTGCTTCTCGCTGATGGTGGGAGGAGCTACTTCCTTAGCCACGTGGTCGATATCGTCTTTTAAGTAAGCATTAAGCACTTCGTCGTGGAGATTGAGCACAGGCTTTTGCTCGCCAATCTCGGCTTTGGCAAGACGTATCATGTACTCCAATAGCGTCAACAGGTACGGGAATGGGCTCTGTTTCTCGGGTTTAGAGTTATCATCGTCGTCATCGTCGTCATCGTCGTCACTAGCAGTTTCACTAGCATCGTCAGAATCGTCGTCATCATTGTCGTCACTGTCTCTCCAACCGCCAAGAGCGAGCCACCGGTGGCCATCGTTCTCTACGGCAAGCTTGAGGATAAGCACGGGGGTATCACGGCTGTCAAGACGCAAAAGACGGCCGCCAGCACTGTAGAACATCCGCTCCACTTGAGCCACTGAATACCGCTGGCTACGGGGCTTATCTTCATCATCGTGGTAGCGACCATCATCAAAACTCTCGTCAATGGTTAACGTATAGTTAATTAACCCCTTAGACGCTTTAGATTTGGGTTTGGCCGACTTCTTTGGCTTATCGCGAGTGATTTGCACTGTAGCTCTAGCGTACTCTTCCTTCCACTGGAGACCATCAACAGTGCCACTGCCATTGTAAAATACACTGTACATCACAGCATCAAATTTTGGTTTTGTTTTAGGGTCCAGAATAAGCGTAGCTGCTCTCATCAAGTCACCAGCACTCATCCGATTAAGCGATTGGGTCATGTCGACTCCCAGCGTCGTCAATACCAAATTAATTACCGGCACCGCCTCTGAGATTTCCCGATTCAACGTATCCATATACAGCTCCAACATCTTCGCCGGCTCCTTAGCAGTGGTAGTTTCCAATTGGCTTACACGGTCACCAAACTCGTTGAACCGGAGGAATAAGTCATTGACTAAGTCAAGCAGTATTTCAAGCACCGAATTGCGACCCAGGGCAAGCTTGACGAGCTCGAGCGACACCGATACCACCTCAATCTTCTGTTGGAGGCGCGTCTTCTTTGCCACTAACCGCTGGCGTTCTCCGAGGGGAAGCAGGTCGACGTAGCGGCCAAGCGTCTTAATAGCATACCCGGAGGCAATTGATATCCCCAGCCGCACGGCAAACAGCACCGCTTGGTTCAGCGCTTTAGCGAGGATCTGGTCCATTCTGAGGTGGGGAACGGCGCGGCGCTGCCATCTACAAAATTGGGTAAGCCTCAGACAACACTTCACTCGATTCGCTCACTAATTTTGAATCTATAATACTATACGAATTATGCTATTAGGGATTCATTAAGTTTATTTTGATGTGGAAAATGACTGCCATGAAATTACACTCATTTCGACCGCTGTAGTATGGGATATAACTCCCGGGGTTTTTCTGATCGCGACCCACTCATGCTCCGTCGGTTTGTCAGAATGGCCACCACCTACTCCAGCGCCACTCCCGGGCCCATCGAGCTTTCCATCTGTCAGAAGGTCACTGATGCCCTCAATCCCTCCCACTTGAAAGTGGCCAACGACTCGAAAAAGCACGCTCACCACGAGGGGATGGTCGGCGCCGATAACGTCAAGGAGTCCCATTTCCGCCTCGAAATCGTTCTGGATAAGTTCCAGGGATTAAACTTACCCGCTCGTCACCGGTTGGTCTACGGCTTGCTTGACGATGAGTTCCAGAATAAGGGTTTACACGCGCTCCAGTTGAAGACCAAGACCCCTACCGAATGGAACAAATAGACTCTACCCATCTGTATATATATGATATTTTCTCCTAATGCATTATTGAACTATTTAATCGACTTCGTCCTGAGTGTTAAACTCTTGTTCCTGCTTAGCCGCCCGTTGCTGCTTAGCTTCCTGCTGTTGTTGGTCCAACGCCTGTTGCTGCTGCTGTTCTTGCAACGCCTTGAACTCGTCTTCGTTTTCCAAGTAGCCGGAAACACCAATCACGCCACACTCGTTGAAGATGTCCAACACCTTTTCGGCATCTTCCACCTTAAGCTTAGCAAACTCTTCATTCACTTTATCAAGCAGTTGTGCGCGAATAGCGTCTTGGAACCCTTGAGGTAATTTTGTCGAGAAGATCTCGTACTCTTTAGTGCCTTCTTCGGGCAAATTGACGGTAAGCTCCGTGCCTTCATCCAACGCCTTCAACTGGATCAATTGCTCTTCCTCGCCGGCTTCCTTGTCCAATTGCTCTTGTTCAATAATCTTGCACCGGGTTTCAATGTGCTTGACGGTGTTGTCGACGTCTTGGAAAAACCCAGTACGAGCGGGACCAGGCTCTTCAAGCTTAGAGAAGAAAAGCTTCACTGCTCTCACTGTGGCGTCAGGGTTAGCCTTGGCAGTGTTACCCGCCAATTGGGCCACGTACTGAATCAAAAGCGATTGGTGGACAATGCGACGGGTTTCCTTAGTGCGGCCTTCGAGTTGGACGTCAAACGCCAGCATGATGAGCGCATCCTTTTGTTGTTCAACACAGATCTCAGGGTGAGAGATCATAAACTCGGCCAGTTGGCGCAATTTGTCGGCGGGGATGTCACCAAATTCTTGAGTTTCTGGAAGCAAAATGAGGTCATCAAGGATCGCTTTCGGTTCATACTTCTTCTTCGGCGCCGCGGCCGAAGCTGACGGCAGGTTAATCACTTCAATCGATTGTTGAGTTTCAGTAGAAGTTGCTGGAGCCAGCTTCAGCAGCGTGCCCTTGTTCAAGACAGAACGGTCAAAGCCGGTGTGGTAGTCATCAGGAGTGATAAGCTGGGCCTTTTCGTGTAACACGTTATCCAATTTAACCGTTTGCGTCAGCATGACGTCATCGATCTTCTTACGGTGGTCCTTAAGCTCTTGCACTAATTTTTGGCCCAGTTTATCGGCGGCGACGTCAGGCTTCTCATCCTTAATTTGAATCAAAAGGTCTTCGATCATTTCGTTATAAGGCGGGGTATTTTCCATTTCCGCTTGGTCGAATTCAAGATCACGCAACCCTTTACGAAGATCATCACCTTGTTCTTTCTTGATGCGTTCATAGTTGAAATTTTCGGTGGGATCATATTTCTGTTTCAACGTGTCCAACACCTTCTTATTGTTCAATAACTCTTCCGGTTTGAGGGTTTCCAATAAGTAGTCGACGCGGTCATTAAGCTTCTTGTACATGGTCAATTGCACCAACAACGTCTTGATTTCCTGGTTCCGTTGCGCCCGCTTTTCCCGGATATCCTGTTGTTTCCAGCGGATGAACGACCGCTTGTCAACATTGGGGTGGACCTCAATATCGGAGTCGTCCGACAATTCGATGTGGTCCCATTTTGAGTAGTTGATGGGCATGGTTTGAGTAGTTGTGAATATGGAATCAAACGGCAACCCCGGTGGAATAGTAGAGACGCTTCCATCACCGCAAAATCAAGGTCACGTGAGTGCGGCGTCCCACTACAAACTAGGGAGACTCGAGCGGGAGAAATCATAAGAGCTCACAGTGAGGGAATATATCCAGCATATGCTTAATTTAGACCGTACGAACTACGCCAACAAATCGACCGCTTCAAAATAGCAATCATAGATCGACCCATTTAAACATCATACGTTTCTTCCTTTACTCTCCTCCCTCTATTTAGCGTGGCTTATCGCCCCGTTGTTATCTTCGGCGTTGTCATTCACGCGCACCTGGTTTCATCACCCTGAGCCGATTTTAGCACCAGACCTTTAAGCGCGAGTGATTGTGTATCCCACGATGGCGTTTAACTTTGCCAACTTGACCAAGGACTTGAAGCTGTTGAGCGACCGTGTCAGCAGCGAGTTCAGCTCGGAGGTGTTGCCGTTTGCCCAGCGCCAGGCCCGTATCGTCCAGGAGCGCTTGGGTAAAGTGCCCGAGGACGAGATCTCGCAATTGCCCCTGGAATACACCGACTTGGCCGCCAAGTGCAACAACATCGAGCAGCTCTACAAGAACTTGTTGAAGGTGACCTCGGTCTACAGCAACGAGTCCTACGACTACCCGGGTAACCTCCAAGAAAGCCTTGGGGAAATGGGCCGCGACTGGGGGAGCCGGGTGCTGAACTTGAGCAAAGCCACTACCCCTCAGGAAGCTCAACAGGCGTTGGTTAACCCCGGAACGGGTGACTTCCGACCGCCCAAGACGTTGTACCACGCGTTGCTGAGAGCTTCTAACCCTGACCAATTGGCGACTCCTCAACAAGAGTTCTCGACGTTACCGCAAAACCCTGAAGACCCCTTGGTTAAAGGGTTAACGATCTACTCGGAAGGCATGAACAAGATCGGCAACGCTCGTTTGGGCCAAGACCAGCTCATTTGCACCAAGTTCAACGAGCCTCTTACCACCACCTTGCGCCAGCTTATCTCGCAGCTGAACAACATCCAGAAGAAAGTGGAGCAGAAGCGTATCGACTACGACCTTGCCCGGCTAAATTTGGCCTCGTGCACCGTGGCCACTAAGGAGCCTCAATTGCGGGTGGTGATGGAGAATGCCGAAGACGAGTTTGCTAATACCGTCGAGGACGCCATCAACATCATGAACAACGTGTTGGCCAACGCCAAACCCCTCGAAGAGTTCCTCGAGTTGATTAAAGCCCAATTAGCTTACCACAAGTTGGCACTGGAACTTTTGGGGACGATGACCACTCAGTTCGAGCAATTGGTCGAGGAGAACCACGACCAGGACGTCACGGCGCCGTCGGACTCCGGCGACTTTGATATTTAGGGGAATTTTCATCGAGAAAATAATCTATATTAGGTTCAAAGTCTTTTTATATGTCTATAATGTCTATTGCAACTTCAACGCCTCCAATCTCACGTCCACCGCCAGCGCCGACTCCAGCGGCACCTCTTCAAGGGGACCTTCTAGGAGCTTGGCGTGGATCAGCACCAACGCCAGAATGATGTCTTTGGCGTTAATGACGGCACTGATATTGATTTCGTTGGCCCCTTGCGAAATCATCTCGATATTGATGCGTTCGTCGGCAAGCACTTTGAACATGTTCCCGGCGATACCGATGAAATTGACCATCTGCTTACCCACGAGGGAGATAATGGCCATGTCGCGGGTGACGTCGACGGTACCCATTTTGCGCAACTCCTTGATGGCGTCTTTCAATTTATCTTCTTGGTCCAGGCCAATCAGGAGCGCCATCGACACGTGCACCTCCGAAGTGGAAATCAAGTCCACCACCAACTTGAACCGGTCGAGGGTGGTGAAAATGTGGGCCAAAAACCCGTGGGAAAGCGTCTTCTTATTCAGGTGGATGTTGACGACAACAATATCCAGTTTGGCAGTGATGGCGGTGGCCAGTCGGCGTTTGCGTAACAGGTTAAGATACAGGGGCAGAATGGCTTCGAGAGCAGCGGGAGGATGAGGCGGCGTCGATTCACCGCGACGGCCGATGTTGTCCGGGTAGATCACCGTGCCTTGGCCTTGAGGGTTTTCGACGTTTTTGATGCGAATGGGAATCTTAGCTTTGATCACTTGTTCCATGGTGAAAGGGTGGATCACTTCCGACCCGTAATAAGTTAATTCGGCGGCTTCTTCGGGAGTCACCAGCTCAAGCAAACGAGCATTGGGCACTTTGCGCGGGTCAGCGGTGAAGATACCGTCGACTTCTTTCCAGATTTGGAGTTCGTCAGCCAGCACACCGACAGCAACAAGGGCAGCACAAAGATCGGTGTAACCACGACCAACACCATTAAGTAAACCACCGGGGACAACCCCAAAGTAACCGGTGATGACGGGAACGCAATCATCGGGGACTTCAAGGGCTTTTTTACCCAATTCAATTGCCAAAAATTGGTAAAATCTATCGTCAAACCCGTGGCTGAAATCATAGTCGAGGGGGATCACGTCCAGACAGTCAACGTATTGAGCCTTGACGCCACGGTCGTTCATAAGCGCCGCCATAAATAAACACAGCAATTTTTCCCCGATCAGCATGATGTGGTCGAGAGTACGGGGGCTGATTTCCCCAATCACCTGACACGCATGCAAGAGTTCTTTAGCGTGGTCCAACTCTTTATTGGTATCGGCGATCAACTGGTTCTGGATCACTTGACCCTGGATTCTCACCTTGGCATTATTTATGTGGTCAGTGGCAATGAGTCTAAGGATCTTTTCAAAGTCTCCATTGGACTCGGCAAGCTCGGCCAGATGCAAAAGCCTCAGCGTTGTACCCTCCGATTTGGTATGAGAGGACCGGGCCAGACACACCACGGCGACACGATTGGTTTCCAGGTACACCTTGACGATATCGTCGACGATATTCTCGGGGAACTTACCCACCAGAGTACCGCCGAATTTTTGCACGACCCACCCTTTACGATAGGTGGCGCCAGCACCATGTAGATCGGTGACGGAGTTATACAGCTTGGGTTGTGGGGGGAGGCTGCTCATCGTCGATTAGCCGGAAGCGGGATGGAAGCCGATTTTGTCGTAAACCCTGAAGCGGCGGAGTCGAGTGAAATATATATGTCTGCAAGGTTATATAAACTGCGCTGCGAAAAATGAGTCAGACGTCCGCAACCGGCCGATGGCAATAACGGTAATTAACCACGGTCTTGTTGACAACGATATTGAAAATATGACAAAAAGATTTTATCGTTTCAATTTTACTAAGTAGGTAATCGAGAGATCGCTTTCATGCTTTAGGCACGTGTTTGTGGTTGGAGATGCTTTTTTTTTTCGGGGTCGGGGATTGATTTTTCATGGAGATGCGACGGCGATATCCGGGGAAGGCGACCCAAAGCATATGGGGTTATTGGAATTTAATTGCGACATTTTAGGAGTAATGGTTAGTAAAACCTCGCTACTATCGGTTGCAATTGAAAACGAGGGGTAACGGCGATGGTGTGATGTTCATAATTAAGTCTTTTAACAGGTTACTGCCGCTAGTCCGAGCATATATTTAGTCGCTCGCTGCAACCACCTGCTCACGTGACTTGAGTCACCCGTAATTTTGCAATCAGATCGAGGAGGTTAATCGCCGTGTCAACATTTTCTGGGGCCATGAAACAATCTGAAAGCCTAACTCGTTCTGGCCTCAAAACTGTAACCCGTCAAACTACCCATATCATCTTCGCCACCTATACCCCGAAGATGGAATGGCTAAGCGACGCGGCAGGTGCAAAAAGCACCCCCTAGCAGCACCTTACAGGGAGGTGCGGTTGACAGTATAAATCAGGGTTGAACCATAATGTTTGAATAAACTAGCCCGCAAGCTACACTTGTAATTGGAAAGAATTGTTTATTAGTTAGTCTATACAAGGATTAACCAATGACGCACCATTCCTTGCCGTGGTAGTCCAAGTAAGGCGACCACTTGTGGTCCTTGCCGGCGTCAGGGGTGGAGGAGGGCGATTGAGTCGAGGGTTGAGCAGCCATGATTAAGATTGTCTTGTGAAGTGAAAGACTACGAGATTTAACTGGTTTATTTATCCTCATTTGGTGGGATTTAGTGGTTTGGTGTTGATATCCGTTCTCGGCGAGCACAATCAGCTCTGAGGTGAGGTACACGCCAACGCAGGTGCTCTTGTTCGTCAGGCGTACCTGCTTTGCTTTCGCCGTTTAAACCCGCTTAGTTAGTCGGGCTTTTAGTGGTGGTCACCAAAACTCGATTGCCATCTCCCAATTCCCTAGATGGAGTTTACATGGTAGCGCCGCGGCATCGCACGATATTTGCAGCCATCAGTGGTCTCATCGGGGGTAGTGTAAAAGCATTTTAACATCAACGGTTATACACTATGACCAAACGTGACGTTGACGATGTGGCTGATCAAGCCGACAAGGCTACCAAAAAGCTCAACCGCAACTTCACCGTTGATGAGATCAAGCTGAGTTTCCAACCGAAACTCTGGACTGAAGAATACCAACAACTGCTCAAGCACGACGTGGCCGAGTCCCAGCCCTACCGGTGGGGCCATTTTACCGATTTATTTGATGACGAATTGCTCCGCAAAGTCCGCAAAGAAGTGCTTAATGAGATCCATTTTACTAAAAAGGAAACCGATATTTATAAAGTGTACCAGCTGGGAGACTTGGCCAATCTTTCGGGATTGGACTGGAACGACTTGCTGAGACTTCCCTCATTGTTTAGATTACGGGCAGCCATCTATTCTCAAGAGTTCCGTGATGCTATATCCACTATCACGGGCTGTGGTAAGCTTAGTGGTATCAAGACGGATATGCTGATTAACACCTACCGCAAGGGGTGTCACCTTTTAACTCACGACGATGTCATTGGTCTGCGTCGGGTATCGTTTATTCTTTATATGCCTGAGCCTGGTAAGCCGTGGAAGGCTCAGTATGGTGGGGCTCTTCGTCTCTTCCCGCTGGTGGTGCCTAATGTTCCCAAGACCGATTATGAGTGTAAATTTGTGCCTCAATTCAACCAAATGGCGTTCTTTACTGTCCAGCCAGGGCTTCTGTTCCACGACGTCGAGGAAGTTAGGGAAGACCGCCACCGGTTGCTGATTCAAGGGTGGTTTCATATCCCTCAACCCGGTGAAGATGGGTACATTCCTGGCGAACAAGCGGAGACTGAAGCTCGTCTGACGTTACAACAGCTCCAGCTGAAGGAACTCCAAGAGTTTGATTTTCCCAAACCGTTCAGATACGATTTACTTGATGATACTGTTAATCAAATTGCTACTGCTATTGCTGAGGGACTCACTGAAGATGATCGCAGATACCTTGAACGATTCCTTAACCCGTTGCTCTTGCGGCCCGAACATATTGCCACGATTAAGGCGACATTCCTCGAAGAGAATATTGTTGAGATCCCTAACCTTTTCAATGAAGCCATCGCTGAACCTTTGAAAAAAGCATTACGGGAAGCGGAAATTGAACGTGAAACTCCCACTACCGTCGACACAGTCGAGGCACCGTGGAAATGTGCTGTGCCTCCTCATAAACAACGGTTTTTGTACATTGACGGTAAGCTGTCCTTCTCGCTCACTAAGGAAAGCATTGATTTTGAAAACAAAGTGGGTCCCCAAGAAATGCCTAACTTTGGGCTTGTGCCTACTCCCCACTCATCTGATGAACGAGTGGTGGCAGTAGCTCGATTTGTCACCCTGATTCTGTTTAAAAAATGGCTTGCTCTCATTACCGAGCTCATCACTACCCTGGAACAAGTATTGGTACGCCGATTCCGTCCGGGCCAAGACTTTATCTTGGCTACACCTACTGATAAGCAATTGGCTCGTAATGACGAAGAGGTCAACGCTGTGCTTGAGGCGACGCTCGACTTGACTCCCACTGCCGATACCTCCGATAAGCTGTGGGCCCTGGGCGAGTACGGCGGCTACGAGTTGTGTATGGCACGCCCCGAAGAGTTTGAAGAGGACGACGATCCCGCTATCTACAAGCAGAGCGACGATGCTGACGACCTGGTGTTGCTGACGACTCAATGCCTGTGGAACCGTCTCACCCTCATGTTGCGTGATCCCACCGTGCTCAAGTTTGTCAAATACGTCTCCATCAATGCCAGAGGGTCGCGGTGGGACGTGCTGTGCCAGTGGAATGTTAAGGATGGCGGCGATGACGATGACGAGGACGAGGACGAGGAGAATAATGATAATGATAATTAATAGACAATAGTTGCCTGGACAACTCATACGGGCACATATACAATAATGTATTTGGTAGTAAGCACTCGCTTAACGATGCCCTATTGAATTCTAGGGCACTTATCGGTCCACTCATATTTTGCATACCACTTGGTTGTCATGACGAGCTGGTAACAATGGGCTAACTCGGGGACCGAGCGCGCTAGTCAATTAATTAATTCAGACCAGGGCTTTAGCGTGCACCCTGATCGTAAGGCGCCAAACGATAGTTTCGACTGTCAAGTTCTCGTATGGGTTAGACTGGACTAATTTGTTTGAAGACTTTAGTAGTTCATCTGTGCTCAGCTATAGAGTCTTATCCGATCTGGCTGCGAATAATTAATTAGTACTAAATGGAGGGGAGGGGAGACACAATGCGATTGTGGTTAAGGGATGCGAGGTAATCAGCCAACGCCAGGCGCTTGCCGTCACCGTGCAACTAGTTGCATTCTCCCCGAAGTATAAAGGGAGGGAGTATCCGCTATAGTTTATCTCTCTACCCTTACACTCCTACCAACTACTAATAACGATGAAGACCTGTGACCAATGTCCTAACGGCTGCAACCAATGCTCGCCCCTGTGCACCAAGTGCAACAAGTAAAGGTGAATAAATAAAACTGTTGGCCTTTTTTCCTAGCCGCCGGCTAGTTTTTTGCCAAAGAGTGGTGATGCTTTTATGTTAGATAATGAAAATAATGCACATGTGAAGAATCGAACCGTAGACGGCAAATGTCTAATTCTTTTTTGGGGGGAAGCCTCAGATATATCGGGGTACCGCAGATGGGAGACCCAAGATTCGCCGGTATCGTCGGTAGTGAAAAAGTAGTGGTTAAAGCGACACGTCTTCGGCACCGCCGGCATCGTGGACATGGACTGTTTCTTGGCTCATCCAACTAGCCTAGCCAATGGTAGATGTGCTCTACGCGTCGTTTAAAGTCTAAACTGAGTGTGCCTCCACCTCAATACTGAATGTGACTTTAGTGGGGGGGAGGGGCCACAACGTTCACATGCTCGGATCAAAGGGTTGGCCACCATGTGCAACTGACCATGAAAGATGAGGACCAAAAACCTGAGCTAATAAATCAGTGTAGACTTAGTCCATTAGCATCACTGCCAAGACTGTTTATAAGTGGTCATTGTCTAGACCAGTTCAAACCCGTACCGTTGGTGTCCGCGTGGGTGCACTTATCAGACCACTGGGTGGCGAGCCCGTACCTACGCGTCCTAACCGGGAACGAGGAGCGAAAAAAAAAAATCGGTTATAAACCGTAGCTACCACTCACCCCCTCCCGCTTGCCCCGCCAGTGTTTATTCTAACAAACAGGACCGGAAAGGATGTCGGACGAGCCCAACCCTTTGATTGTGTTTGCCACGATTGCCGCCATCATTGGCTCGTTCGTGGCGTTCTACTTCTTCCAGCAGGCGAAGAAGAACGGCAAGCCCGTGCTCAAGGCCGATGAGTTCCAGAAGTTCCCTTTGATCAAGAAGACCCGCTTGACCCACAACACGTGCATCTACCGCTTCGGCTTGCCCAAGCTGACCGACCGCTTGGGGTTGCCCATTGGCCAGCACATCCTGATCGGCGCCACCATCGACGACAAGGAAATCGTGCGCCTGTACACCCCTATTTCCACCGATGAAGCCCAGGGGTACTTCGACCTTTTGATCAAGGCCTACGACCAGGGCAATGTGTCCAAACACGTCGAGCTGAAGAAGATCGGCGAGACCATCAACGTCCGAGGGCCCAAGGGGTTCTTCACTTACACTCCCAACATGGTCGACTCGTTCGGGATGATTGCCGGCGGCACCGGGATCACCCCGATGTACCAGATCATCACCGCGGTGTTGCTGAACCCTGAAGACAAGACCAAGCTCAACTTGGTCTACGCCAACGTCACCGAATCCGACATCTTGTTGCGGGCGGAGTTGGACAAGCTCGCCGCCGAGCACCCGGACCAGTTCACCGTCCACTACGTGTTGAACGAGGCCCCCGCCGGGTGGAAGGGGTCGCAAGGGTTTGTTACCGCCGAGATCATCGACGCCCAGTTGCCCAAGGCGTCGGAGCTGACCAACTTGTTGTTGTGTGGCCCCCCGCCGATGATCTCGGCGATGAAGAAGGCTGCCGTCGAGTTGGGCTACCCCAAGGCAAAGCCGGTGTCCAAGCTTGGCGACAAGGTCTTTGTGTTTTGAACTTGTTTGTTGCTAAAACCTAATACACACACGGTTTCTGTGTCTGCGTTTTTTTCCTCGTTTCCTCGTTTAGCTCTCCCTCGCCTCTCTCTCCTGTGTGGTCGTGTGCGGTTTTACGAATGTCGTAGCGGGTAATCGCTCTCAACCGCCCAATTCCCCTTAGCCACCGTCACCACCTCTTTACACAATCGCTGGCCAATCCGCACTAAGCTTTCACACACATTAGTGTTTGTGGCAATAGGCTATTTCTGGGATTTGTGCTCCGCTGATCATCATTGTAGAAATACATCAATCTCTGAGAAGGAAGTTACCGCGTATTCCTTAAACACCACAAGTTCATCTGGCGGGGCTTCGGTGGTGACACTAGTATCAAAGAAATATTGCTACAACTGACCTCTTGGGTCACTTTCGTCTTGGTGGTCAAACAAAAAAAAAATTACTATTTTACCATTTCCCCTCCCACTGACTGGAAAAAGCACGATGGCGTAGTTGATTCGAATTATGTCGCTATGCACCTATGTTGTTGTCACCGGGGCAAAGTGGGATACGGAGGTGACACTAACACGGACAGGTAGGCAGAAAAACTCAGTTTTGTCCCGGCGGAGACAGTGCTTGCTTGCAAAAGTTAATCGTATCCCCGCACTTTAGTTTGCCCCCGAGGCTTTGTTTGCGGCGGAGCGCGAAAATTGTCCGGGCGACAGCACTCCAAAGCCAGTGGCGCCTGTGTGGCGTCCGTGTGGCGAGTGACGATAATGACCACCTACAAGAAATGGCCAGTCACTGTTCATAGTGTCATTTCTATCATATTTGATGATTGGCAATTGTTGTTAGTCTTGGTAGTTGTCGCGGTCGGCGATACTTTGGGTTGTATGCCTGACCTAAAGCGGCGCGCGCGCAGCCGAGGCTGGGGGCGATGCGGGGGACAATATGATAAGGGTCTTATTAATTACACTATTAACAAATACACTATGGACGCACACATGGGGGTTGACCCCGATTTGAAATCCCTGTGATAAACGTCGCTGGAGGGCAGATCGCTAGCACGGGACGGGCGCCAAATAAAAGTAAAGATTAGAACACAACACTGGACAGAGGGGAAGGTGTCATCGCACGAGACCAGCTCACCAAAATTCCACTAAAAACCCACTGGACGTAAGGAAGGGGGCGTGACGCGCCTAGTCCTCGTCGCCACGCTCGGGGACGCCGCGAGCAAACACGTTGTAGGGGACGCGCTTAACCTTGTACTTGTTCCCCTTCTGCGAGCGAGGCTGGTCGGGGTTGTACTTCATCAGCGTGTACACGGAGGAAAACGACAGCTGGGTCGAGGTCAGCAGGGTGCGGCGCAATTTCAGGAAGATCAGGCGCTTCAGCGTCGTCAGCGAGGTGTCGTCGTCGGATGCCATCAGCATTTTTTAGGGAGTGGTTGTTTTTCCGGGCTGGGCTGGGATCCCGCCTCGCTATATAAACCTCAGGAGCGGGGAGTTTGCCCGGGGTGCATGACCGTCGCATACGGGGCGGGCTCGCAAGCGTCCCAGCAACGCTGCCTCCCCACACCGAAAATAATGTTTTTGTCCCGCAAAATTTTGTGGGGCTAAACGATCACTCGGGCATGGCTACTGGAATGGAAAACCCAGTGACTAGTCGATATTGGTAGTGGTGGGGGATGACTAAAAAGTGGTGGTGGCGTGCCGGCGAGCCTGGCTAATTCCAGGTCCACGCAGGGACTCTATCACGTAAACAATAGACATGGGGCAGCGTCGGCGCCTTGGAGGCACTAATGCCGACGCGGGCTGGCGCCCTCTATCGATGCGGCGTGTGCCCCATGGGGCGACCACTCGTACCTAAATTAACTCGCGCGCTTAGGTTATCACCGATAGGTTTTTTTTATTTGACCAGTAACCAAGGGGGCTACAGTATACGCTAGCGAGACAACTGGATACGAGCGACACCGTCGCAGCTGTTGCCCCTCGTTTTTCATTGTCGATCGTAATTTTTTCTCTCGCTTAAAGGTGCCGTGTCTTTTTGGTGGTGAACCATCGCTGTCAACTACTATACAACCAAAACCGCGACACCGCGCCACACCCACAGGAATAATGGAGATTAGCACATGGTTATCTATGACAATACAACAATGAGAAAGTCCCCGGCGAGTAGGGCCGCGCCTGTGAGATCTTTTTTTTTATCGCTCGGCCCTTTTTTTTTTTTATCGCCCGGTTTTTTTTTTTTTTATTTTCAATTCTACTCTCTGCGTAAGGCGGCAATCGTGGGTGGTGACGGCTGAGCCTTGTCAAAATTCCTCGGGGCGGTACACCGACGAGGGTCAGATGTGGGTCTAAGCCTGGAACCTGTGAGGAAATGCATTTCGAGGCAAGTGCACCCGATAGAGAACTACCAAAGAAAGGTTCGGGAATATTGGCCACTTCTCCCTCACCAGGGCGCCGTAACCTGGGGAGACAACGATGGTCGGACCTCCGGAGGAATTAAAGATAAGAGTGAAAATTCTTTTACTCTTGCGTATGGTATTGTGTGGTACTACTTAGTGTCGGTGTCGGTGTCATACTGCGTCAGGCACATAAGGAGGTTAGGCCCGTCTCCCCACAGGTGTCTCCTCCCGCTCTCGACTGGAGTGGGCCGTTAGTGCATATAAGTCACGCACGTTTCGGATGAGGAATGATTTGGCGGTGTGACACGCCCTGGAGGGGAGGGTGGCTCCGATACCGCCCGATCAGTGTGTGACCCTCGAAAAAAAGGTATCGGTGACGCCGCCAGCAATAATACGGAAAATAGCCTTGCTTCTCCGGCGGCTTATCCCCGTTAGCCATCCATATCTACCATATCTCTTCAGTAGTTTTGTTATGCTAGTTTCCTTTTACCCGGTGTCCAGACAACCACGGTTTCCCAACCAGGCAAAA